TAAGAGACCATTATGTAGCACCTTTGTTAAGGGTTTACAAGCTGCAGCGGCGCATATTGCTGCCACTTTCAGAAACACCGGGGCAAACCCCTTCTCTTGGCAGTAAGTGTTACTGGGTTCTTTAACGTGCATTACACAACACACGGGACCTACGGCTTTACATGTACGTCCCATCCAAAGAATGAAGCGATAATGGTAAAGTGCCTTGCTTAAGAGCACAAGGACCACGTTCCCGTCAGGATTCGAACCCATATACCACGGCACAAAAGTCAAACACTGTTACCATTGGACCACAGCCCCAACAAACACTACAAAACCCTCCGGGTTATTGGTAATCCGGAGGTCGCAAGTTTAAATCGTGCTCTAACCAATTTCTTTATAATCAAGATACTACTCCGATACCTTTTTGGATGTTGTAGTCTGACAGTGTGCGTCCATCCTCGAGCTGCTTGCCGGCAAAGATCAACCTCTGCTGGTCCGGAGGAATACCTGCAATCATAAGACCGGCTCCATATCATTGGCAAATCGGTATGGAGGGATCCCTGGATTTAAAGGTATAGCCCATCATTTGTAACTTGGGCATTTTGTTCGTTTGAAGCAACAAACGTACTAAAAATCTGAAGAAGGGTGCTAAACAACTAACCTGATGACGTTTCAGCTCAACTTCAGCTATATATTCCGAGAAAAACAGCATTCTACATGTAGGACCCGATTTCATATCAAAAGTTGCTGAATCATGTTTTGAATTGGCCCTGAATTCAGCGTCCCCGACACGTTCTCACTGAGCCGATTGCAGCTACGCGATGTCGTCGCGCACCGATCCGACGAAATATAGCAACCGCACGCGCGTGTGCATAGTGCCAATGCTTGCATGCGCTTCGTCGAATAAAAAAAACAACTACTAACAGAAATTTCCTACGGTGCATCTTAAGACGCACCGTTGGAAAGGCCTTCTTTCCTTGATTTCTTCAAAATGACAGCTTCCCCAAAAATTTCACAGGGAGTTTAGTTCCCTCACTATCTTTCAACCAAGCACGGTTTTCAACAATAATTACGTCAGTTACTTTTTGTATAGCTGCAAATGATGGACTATAGCTTTAAAGCTGCCTGAGTCACAATTACATCACAAGTGAATCACAAGTCAATCTAGAGACCATTAACCCTAACCGCCCTGAATCCTCCAAAATCCTTTTTGCAAATTGGAGGAATTTGCAGGATTGAGGTTACATGGCCAAAGTGCGTTGCTGATTTCAGAGTACGCACTGTGTCAAGGTCTTGGGCCGGACCTTGTGTTGTTAATGCTCAGCCGTGCATAAATTTAGTCATTGATTATACTTAACATCCTCCGCACTGCTTCAGGATGTCACTGCCTCTGCCTCAGCCTATTGACAGACATAGCCGGAGGATTTTGCAGGATTCAGGCAGTGGTCATCCCTCCACGAACCATATTCAAGAAATAGTGGAGGAATTTGCAGGATTGAGGCTACATGTATATGCTATTTTTTCATGAGGCCAATTGGAGGATTTTGCAGGATTGAGGCTTCATCCTAGCAAAAAGGCCTAGGGAGTTAGGGATATTACTATATTTTCATTAGACTAGAACACATGTTAAGTTTGTAAAAAGTCATGGCATGATCTCGTGCGTGATATCCCACAGGGAGTGTGCCATGACTTGGAACATATGCGTTAAGTACGGTGTGAAACACTTCTATCGTTGGTACTCATGCTTTCACCATGTTTCCACACATGAGTGGGAGCAGTGAACTAGCAGACGATCATTCTGTTTCGAGCACGCGACATGCATGTGAGTTGACGTACGATTGTCATGTTTGTTGTGTTTACCGCTGTTTGTTTTCGTGATTTTAACATCAAAATCCAAAGAATCCTAGACGGAGGTATAACAAAACAATTGTTGACTGCTGTGACGTGGGATATGACGTCTTGAACACCCTCGGGGCACATACATGTAGATGCGCCCCTCGGGTGTACAAAACGACATATCCCACAAAACATCAGTCAACAATTGTTAAATATTCAAAAGTTGTTCAGCTGTCTTAATGAGACGAAAAATGTCTGTTATTAATTCCTGTAACAACATTATTTATTCCTGTGAGGTTTTGTGACCTGACTTTGACTTGGTCCTACTCCTAGAACTATGTGGAGCCTCATAGATTAAGAACCCCGCAAAATTGTTTTCAGCACAAAACACTAATTAAGTACAAAAACATCCATCAAAATGCAGAAATTTCCCACAGAACCGCTGCACAGTTTGCCCCCAAACTCCGTACTAAACCTCATGACATACTCACAAAATATGCACAGAACAAACATCACTGGATTTTGTCGGTTTTTTGGCTAAAATGATGAAAAATATGCCCTTTCCACACTGATGCAACCTGACACTTGAAACGTGCACGCATATGATCGAGCGATGATTTTCGGTTCGCTCAGAGAGCGCCGCGGGGGGAAGGTACAAGCACTTGTACGTAACGCATGCGCATACTATCATTTCGCTTGTACCGTACCCCCCGCAGCGCGCTCCGAGCGAACCGAAAATCATCGCTCGATCATATGTGCGCACGCTTCAAGGCTCCACGACGTGGAGCCTCATAGTTCTAGGAGTAATTTGGTCCTACGTGTGGATGACATGAAGAAGATGAAATTGACATCTGATGGACTTGTAATCAATCACAAGTACCTCCATTTCTGCTCTGCACCCGATTTCACGAAGCGCTGCGACGCGTCGCAACTCGAGTTACGACGTGTAACACATCGCAACTCGCGACGCGTCGTATCTTCCATTTCACGAAAGTTGCGATGTGTTGAATGCGTCGTAAGTTCCTTGACAACGGCTTAAAACACGTCGCAAGTTAAGACGAAGTTAAGTCTAGTGGTCGTCGCAAAATAAGAAGAGTCATTTCTTAGCCAGTTTTATGCCATAAAAATTACATTAACGAGATTATAATACCGAGGCAATGTGTGTAAAGTTGTAAATTGAAAATTCATTGAATAATTATGAACTAGACCGGAATATTAGAGTTGCAATTTCAAAGTAGCTACACAGTCCACTGAGAGCTTGTTTTCCTTCAAAATTGCATCGCACGACCGCCATTTTGTTTTACGTTTTAACAAATTTCAAGCTGAGATCCGACGACTCTTTGTTGAAAATCAGACGACTATTTACTGTACGCCGACTAAATACATAAAACAGTCACCGAGCTGTGCTATAAATACACATACGACGCGTCGCACTTACGACGTGTTTCGTGAAATGGATCGCAGGAGGCGTCGCAGCTGCGACGCATCGTAGGGATACGACGCGTCGCAGCGCTGCGATGCATCGTAAGTTACGAAGAGTTTGATGAAATCGGGTGCTGGTTTCATGAGCCATACTCACCTTCTTTGTCCTGTATCTTGGCCTTGACATTCTCGATGGTGTCGGAGGGCTCTACCTCCAACGTAATGGTCTTGCCCGTCAGGGTCTTCACAAAGATCTGCATGCTGATTGGTGGATTCTGAAAAGGGGAGGGGCATAAAGTTCAGCACACTCTGAATGAGTCTGGTTCATCTGGAATTCGACATTTAGAATGTCAAATTCCTGATGAGCATCGGAGCTGGAGTTTCTCAAGCTACATTTTTTGCAGTGACCTGCAATGCAGTGCTATGAGAAGAAAAAAGTGGCATGAAGTAGCAACATCTGTTCCTAGTTATCTCCAAGGAAAGAATGTTGCAACCTGACGCCACTTCAGCGGTAGTGTACAAAGTAGGAAAAAAAGTATTTTCTAACTAAATTGGAAATGTTTCTCAGTCCCAGATTCATGTCTTATCATCAGTTTTGCAATGGCTAGCCTTCAATGAGATGATATATGTAGAAAAAGCAGCGTCACCTTGCAACATTCTTTCCTGTCTTTATTATTTATCAATCATAGTTTTTTTTTAAAGGGAAAAGTCCATTAACATTAGATTTAAGCCTATGGTTCCGTAATCATGGTACTGATAGGTTTATAGCAGTTGGAAATCGCAGCACGGCTGCCGAAATTAACAATAAATAGCCACTGCGATTATAAAAAAAAAACACACGTCACATCATGCGAAATTCACATCATGCACATTGAACATGTTGAAACTTGAAGAGCGACAGATTTTAATTTTGTCTTTTTGACTTTATTCTTCTCCATATCAACCAAATTTACAGTTATTATAGTACTTTGGAATATGGTCGATTAAACTCTTGGATTAAGTCTCCTAAAAATCATGAACATATTTGCAAAATAACTGATTTTATATCTCGCATCGACAGAAACGGCACTACCTTCGAATATTCCAAGCAGAAAAGGACGACCTCACATGGCAACTGGTAGCCCGAACGTTTATTTCGAACGCGAGTTGCGTGCAACCATTTAAGGTTACCAGCTAAACTTTCACAACGTGCAACCGAAAGGACGCCCTCTATTGGTTAAATTTCGGTTGATTTTATTGCAAAACGTTTTAGAATGGGGAAGTTTTGGGCACTAAAAGTAGTAAAGTACAGTCTCCATAAAACACATAAACATCTTTAAGCTGAGATCTTTAATTATTTACTGGAGTAGGAATCAAACAATTTTATTCCTTTTACATTCAGTCATTCATATCTCGAAAAACATTAAAATTAAACAGCTAGCTAGCTGTATTGTGTCGTCGATCGATGACAGAACTGAAAAGTTCGAGTCAGTAAATAATCTGTGAAAGTTATTATGCTTTCACATGTTGCTGGGGAAAGGAGGATCTTTGTCTCCTTATGTATACATTTTAACCATGAATTATTTTATTAAAGTAACTGAATTAACTAATTTTATAAAAATTATTGTGCTCTTTACTTTTAATATTCGTGATAGTAACTTACAACAACAGAGGGCGCCCTATGCAATCGATTATGCAAATGTTGGGGTCAACAATCTAGCGACGACGAGAAATCCAGGGATTTTTTTGAGAACAAGGCACCGAAAACTGGTGAAATTAGAGCGCCGGTTTCTTCCAATTTGCCAAACAAACGGGCGAAATGATGGACTTTCTGGAAAGAGGAACAACTCATTTATAAATTACAGTGGGATTTGTGGAGTATTCGTTCGTAATTGTTGAAGGTAGGAGGATATTTTTTATTAGAAAATCGACGAAAAATTTATTGTTCATGTTGCTTCAGCTGATTCAAAATGGCGTCAATGTAATGTTACAACTAATTTAGGTAAAAAACGGGAATTCCCATAACTGTTCCAATACTTACATCATGCTTCGAATAATCTGAGCCATGTTATAGGGTTATTTGTCAAAGAGAAACTGAAATATAAATACAGACGTTTTACTTTCATGACTTTGTAAAATTTTCTTATCAAGTTGATCATCATCATTCATCTGGTTATCCTTACTTAGGACACCTATTTTTTACTAATTTTGTTGGCTGCAGGCTGCGGGAAAAATTCCATACTTGATCGTCAATTTATCTGCCGCCAAACATATTAATATTCATCTCACCTTTTGATTTCAACCAAGAGGAATCCAGGAAGCTGTGTTAATAAGGTGAAAAAAAATAGACAAAATGTGTTTTTAGAGCACATTTTGGATGCACACATCGTGCAGAACTAAGTTGAACAGCCAGTCAACCATGTCAACAGCAACGCATGACGTCGACAACCATGACGTCGCATGAGCCGGCCAATGATAGTGCAATACGTCATTATGAATATTTATTTTCTCATGAATATTTAGTTTATTTCAATGGCTACTTCAAATACGTCCAAGGATTCATCATGGCAACAGCAATCGTGCGCGGCCTAGCGGTTAAGAGACTCGTGTGTCAAGCAAGAGTCCGTGGTTCGAATCTCGATGAAGTAAGTGACTGATTAATAAATAGAAGTAAAGGAAAGGAGAGGGTGAGAGTAGAGGAGGGAAAGTGGAGGAATAACCATAAAGGACGTAGCTTTTGGCGCTTGAAAATTAATTGAAAAAAGTGGCGATCGAGTATGAAATTTTTTCCCAGGCTGCATATACCATGTATATATTGCGCATGTACATGTACATGTATATATTGCGTCAAGAAGGGTCAACTTGCTTAAGCAACTGCCAATGGTCGCCAACTCAGTTTCAACAAATATTGTATAGTCTATAGACTTTCATTAAATTCTGAACATCAAAAGTAGCTTTATAATACTAGTAATTTTATAACTTGCCTACAGCTTTGTTTTAATGTATTATTAACAATAACATATTGTTTTATAGTTATAGGCCGTACAAGCCCTATGCACTTTTTTCGTTTTTAACCAATAAAATGTTTATAAAAAAAATCTGTTTGCAAAAACAAACACCTTGAACAAGATATACGTAGAAGCAATGTTTTTGCAAGGAATTCCCCCGTGCAGTAATGGTACACACCACCCTAGCCCCATAAATGTGGCCTATTTACTGGACTGCCTCCGTAAACATAGGCCACACATCCACATGTACAAAAACGTGTCGACTTTGCCAAATTTTGATTTTCACATTAAGGCTTACTTTGTAGGTTTTTTTTGCTTTAGAAGCATTCTCACCCTCTATATAGGCTAATCAGAAAGTGCTACCTTTTTCAGATGTCTAATTTTTGTGAAATTTCATGTTGAAATTTTGATACGCAAACGTGTGCAAATGTATCTGGAAATTTCACGAAAAATGGACATCTGGAAAAGGCAGCACTTTCTGATTAGCCTATATAGAGGGTGAAAATGCTTCTAAAAGCAAAAAAAACCTACAAAGTAAGCCTAAATGTGAAAATTTGGCAAAGTCGACACGTTTTTGTACATGTGGATGTGTGGCCTATGTTTACGGAGGCAGTCCAGTAAATAGGCCACATTTATGGGGCTAACACCACCCATGAGTAGTACATTTGTATAGATCTCGGCTTCACTTGAACAAGATGACAGCCAATACTAAATTGACAAACTCGTATGGTAAGCAGCAGGGAAGAGGGGAAGTTCCTTGTCAACAAAAGTCACTGATGGTTACATGGGTAAGGAAAGCGTAAATTCAATATTTATTTGAAATTTTCTTTCAGAACACAAATATAATCATGGATTGTGCGTGCTCTACCCTGGTGCTTTCGGTGTTTCTGTTTATATGCGGATGTGGTCGCTTAGCAACGTCTGCGGGCTGCTCTGGCCTCCGGAGGGCGCTCTTGACAGACCTGGAAGGAACGGTCACGGACGGAGTAGGGTTTTACGAAGAAAATGTCCACTGCGAGTGGCTTATAGAAGGTACACATAATTTTCTGGTCAACTGTTAGTTTCTGACATCATATTAATTAACCCTAACTCCGTAGTGTCTTTTACTAGAAACTGGACCAATTCCATCAAAATCCATCAATCACTGTGCGTCCAACACGAAACTGTACATGACATAATGGAATCCACCGTTGACACACTGGTTGACATTCATGGACTTGCTACACATGGCTTTTATCACAACAGCAGTACAGGAAGCTAGGCAAAATCAATCGGATACCTCTAGCACTGCTTCAGGCCATTAGGCCCAAGTCCATCATGCTCCATCAATATTTAGTCATGCCAGGCTTTCGGGACCAGGTCCCCAAATCCACCAAAATTTGGGAATGGATTTTGATGGAGTTGGGGTGGTTAGGGTTAACTCTTTTGCTACGGAATTAAATTTACCTTTTTTGTCCCAACTGGACGTAATTAAAAGCTGAAAATCCGCCAAGCGTCGATGTGGGCGCCACCATCTTTAAATGTATCTCCGTAAACAAACTGCTCACAATAACCTGCAGCGCACCCCGGCCAGACGGAGAGCCGCTGGCAGCGGCCTGAACTAGGGTCAGAGGTTATACGATATAAATTATGTAGATATGGCCCACGTCATGGGGATACCCTGTTTATTCATAGCGACGCAACCGAGCCGCTGCCAGCGGCTCTCCGTACGACCTGTACAATTAGTATGTGCCGCTGTCAGCGGCTCCCCGTAGCGAAAGAGTTAAAGGATTGAAAAGATTTTTAATTTGTGTAAAAGTATCTTGACTCTTGGGCAGAGATCGGGCGGTCTGTTCTTGTCAAGGGTATATATTGTTTTTGACGGATAGGTGGCATGTGGTCATGTTCCGAGTGCAGTGTTCCTGGGTCATGTTCTGGCCCTTTGAGCCCGAGTACAATACATGTATACCCGTGTCAAGAACAAACCGCCTGAACTCGGCCCTAGATATATCTTGTGCTCTGTTCGCAAACACGAGAGGGCGCTATTTGGGGAGTCAGGTTGGCGTAGTGCTATTTTCCTCGCCTTCCACCACTGTGACCCGGGTTCGAATGCCCCCTGGCCAAACATGCGGAGTTGGTTTTCAGTCCCTGCCTGAATCCGTGGGTTTTCCCCTGAATATTCTTCTTGGGTTTTCCTCCCACCTCTAAAACTGAAATTTCTTCTCATTGTCTCCTCTCCACGGGTTTCTTTGGGCTTGCAAGCTGCAGTGCCTAGGGGACTTTTGAGGAATCGTAGGTTTTATTTAATACCAAAAATAAATATGAAAATAACAAGAAAACTTGGAAAGATCACATTCACACAAATGCAGACATTATATATGGATTTCGTTTTTCTTAGACTCTTGACATGTGGTACCGGTATTTAGTATTAACCCTAACCGCCCTGAATCCTTCAAAATCCTCTCGCCAAAGTGGAGGAATTTGGAGGATTGAGGTTACATGGCAAAAGTGCGTTACTGATTTCGTAGGATGCACTTTGTCAAGGTCTTGGGCCGGACCTTGTGGTGTTTTTGCACAGCCATGCATAAATATAGGCCTGGATTATGCTTGAAATCCTCCATACTGCTCCAGGATGTCACTGGCCAAGCCTCAACATATTGACAGTCACTTCCGCAGGATTTTGCAGGATTCAGGCAGTGGTCACCCCCTCTATGGACCATATTCAAGAAATAAGGAATTTGCAGGATTGAGGCTATATGCTAACTTTCCATGAGGCCAATTTGAGAATTTTGCAGGATTGAGGCTACATCCTAGCAAAAAGGCCAAGGGAGTTAGGGTTAACAAACTGAAAAAACACTCAATCTCAGCAAACATGGGTGAAGATGCACCTTTGATTAAACCTACCATTTGGCCTTCTTGCTAGGATGTTGCCTCAATCCTGCAAAATCCTCCAATTGGCCTCATGGAAAAATAGCGTATAGCCTCAATCCTGCTAATTCCTCCATTATTTCTTGAATATGGTCCGTGGAGGGGTGACTGCTTCAATCCTGCAAAATCCTCCGGCAAACACTGTCAATATGTTGGGGCTTGGCCAGTGACATCCTGGAGCAGTGCGGATGATTTTAAGTATAACATAGGCCTAAATGCACGGCTGAGCAAAAATAAAACAAGGTCTGGCCCAAGACCTTGACAAAGTGCATCCTACAGAATCAGTAACGCATTTTTGCAATGAAACCTCAAGCCTCCAAATTCCTCCGCTTTGGCAAAGAGGATTTTGAAGGATTCAGGGCGGTTAGGGTTAATGTATTTCAGGGAGTCAGGTTGGCGTAGCGGTACTTTCCTCGCCTTCCACCGCTGTGACCTGGGTTCGAATCCCGCCTGGGCCAAGATGTGGATTGGGTTTTTAGTCCCTGCCTGATTCCGTGGGTTTTCCCCAGAATATTCTTCTGGGCTTTTCCTCCCACCTCTAAAACTGTAATTTCTTCTCATTGTCTTCTCTCTACAGGTTTCTTCAGGCTTGCAAGCTACAGTGCCTAGGGCGCTTTTGAAGAATCCTTGGTTTCATTACCAGAAATGATTAATAATAATAATAATAATTCTATTTATTTTATACCTTTTTGAATATTTTACTTTTCAGCTCCGGATCCTAACATGACCATCACTTTGACATTCAAGGAGTTTGAGACAGAGTGTACCTATGACTTCCTGACGGTCTACGACGGCGACTCATTCACAAGTACCGTCCTGGGCACATTCAGCGGCAACTTGGTACCGGGGCCAGTGCAAGCCAAAAGTGGCAAAGTGAGTCCTTAAAAAATATCATGGAACATTCACATTTGTGCTGGCAATGACAGGCTTTACTTACCAACCGTTCGTCGGCACAATTGCTGAATTCCCCGCCACTCGATCTGTCCACCTCGTAGCCGGCTACGAGGTCATGGTTGGTTGACCTCAATAAACATTCTCAGCCCTACATGTACTATGCGTCATGCTCCATTGCACTCCCCTTCGTAACCGCGTAGCCGCCAACAGGGTAGACTTTGGTTTGGCCTTAGAATTTTTTCAGCAACTCCCATTCCTTTTGTGTTGCTTCGTTCTCAAGCATATTCAAGGGGACTCCCACTTCGTATCTGCGTAGCCGCCAACCAGCCCCCCCACCAGCCACTCCGAGTCAACTAACAAATTAGGCCATCAGCCTCGGTCCAAAATTTTGGCCACCGGTATCAAATGAGGGGAATAATCGTCATAGCGATTTTTGGCGAGGTACACACCTCCAGAGTTGGAAAATATGTGATAGCATTGCAGCGGTGGCAGCTTTTAAGGAGTTATCACCCTTTTTTCAAATTGTCCATCAAAATGCGTGTTTACCACTCTAGGGGCAGTATACCTTGCGCATGCGCACTATCATCATTTATGCCCTGATCTGATACCGACCAAACCCCCAGGCTGATGGCCTAAACGTGATGCGATCAAGCTACATGAGTCGTTTGTCGGGAATTTTCATTTGGAGATACAGGCCAAAATAGGGCCACTTCATCACACCACTTCATCACATCTCTTGGTGTTCCGACTTTTATCATTTTTGAACTAAAGATGGTATCAGCATGCGGTTTTCACAGCAGTTATGCTGAGATTGTGCTCTTTTCAAATCTGTAATAAAACCTTTTTTGACCGGGGTCGACAAACGACTCATTTAGCTTGATCGCATCACAAATGTGACGTCATTTCAAGCAGAAAGCCTCGGCTGTTGATTGGTCAATTGGCTGCTATGTTTTTGTAATACAAGAACGGGTTTATACCCGTTAAGACCTGACAAAAGGTGCCCACTGAATGGTCAGAATCTGGAGCTCACGATGCAGTCTTGTTTTGCATAATTAATCACAATATCTGTACGCATATCATGGATGCATGATGTACTGCACTGAGCTCTATTCCATCATCAGACCGTCGCGTCAGTGCAACAAGGTCGTATCTCCTAAAATGGCATGAACGACGCAAAACGCAAGTTTTAGAATGTCAAAAGGTTGTATCTCGCTTAAAATAACCCGGATATACACGCAAAGTCAATGGACGTCAAGATACGACCTTGTTGCACGGAGCGTCTTCGTGCGAGATATGACTTTGTTGCAGAATGGAGTTACGACCTTGTTGCACTGACGCGACGAGACGAAGTTAAATTTTGCATATATGTGTATCCTTTTGCACACTAAATTTCATTCACATAAAATAAGTTTTGTGGTTAATTGTTGGCAAGTTGCAGATATCTGTCCTATGTTACATAAAACATTTGAAAATGTTATAAACTCGAGCCCTGATGTATTGCCCTAATAGGGAATGTACCTAATTGTATAAAAGTTCACCGAATTTTTGAGTGATGTTGATAAGGCCAAAAAAAAAAAAAAAAAAAGTCGGTCTCTGGTCAGCGCGCGCGTCGATTTTAATCGTGCGCGTCATTTTTTTTTTTTTTCAAAAATGTTCCGCGGTAGCTCCAACAGCGCCCTCTGTTTCCGCACCTCCTCAATTTTTTTTACCAAAGAGCACCAAGGAATGGGAAATGGCACCAAGGCAAATGATCGAAAGCACCAAGGCAAGTTATGGAGGACACCAATGTACATGAGGACACCAAAAAAGCAAAATAGTACCTACCTTGTCTGTACAATCCAAGCTTAAAGAAAAAAAAAAAAAAAAGCCGCGTGGCCGCGTCGATTCCTGAACTTTGGTCTGACCAGAGACCAAATTTTTTTTTTGGGCCTAATAGGGAATGTACCTAATTGTATAAAAATTCACCAAATTTGTGAGTGATGTTGATAAGTCTTCTGGTTTGGTTTTGTTTGTTTCAGATGTTAATACACCTATACAGTGATACAAATTACCCGTTAAATGGCACGACAGCGACGTACAAGATACAGAACTGTTCCAATGCCTGTTCGGGGCACGGCGTTTGTCAGAATTATCAGTGTGCGTGCGACTCGGGGTACAAAGGGAGTTCCTGCGAGTGGAGGACTTGCCCGTATGAGTGCGGCCAGTCGAGCAGTCGCGGCAATTGCGACTTCCTGTCACCGGTAAGTCGGTCTTGCTCCAAGAACCGGTTTTTATTTGGAAATTTGTTCTGCCTTAATGCAGCCAATTCCAGTTCCTGGCAGCGTTTTTCTTATCTGTAGCACACATCTTCAATGGATCATGATTACTCAGCTAGTTTGATGTTTATTGATGCGAAAATAATAACAAAGTCACGCATACTGGAGTTTGTATCCTTGTGGAGACATTCCTTTGTTCTTGTGTACTAAAGTTTTCAAGTTTGAAAGTGTAGTTTAAAAATGCTGTTATTTTAACCAGAATTCATTTCCTTGGCTGAAATTTGGACTAGATATCCCTTTTCTAAAACTCTTCCATTTGCGACGGATCAACATAGCTTGGAAATTCCTAGTTTTTGAGTAAAATCCATATCTATTTCGTGAAAACCTTGTGGGGACATATTCATCCATAGAAATTGCCCTGTGGAGACGTATTCAATCTTTTGTTCCCTATTGTACACACATCTCCAGAGGGCATGGTGTATCAGATCACACCATTGCTACCAGTCGGTCATGCATGTACATTAAAGCATTTCAAAGAACGGCTTTCGTCGAGCTGCCACAGTGGCCAAGTTGATAGAGGAATGAACTATGGATCGCAAGATCTGTGGTTTGAAATCCACCTATGTCCATTTTCATTGAATATTTGTTGGTTGGGATAAGTTTAATTGAAGGAAAAACACTACGTGAACCTAAGTGTCGTCCATTGACACAGCATGATAAATATTCATGTTAGGGTGCATGATGTGATCGGTTAAAATACGATGTATGCTGCAAAAAAAAAAACCTCCCTGGCAAGTGCGGTCAATATGCGCGGCAGTAGAGGGCACTTTCAACAAAGATGAATCAAATGCAGTTTTGGGAACATTGGCATTCTAATTAAGGTACATGTAGATATTTTTGTTATGATATCACATGCATTTTTTGTGTGTGTCAAGGGTTTATGAGTTTGTAGTCAATGTCTTGACGATATTTTGACAATGTTGTGAGGAGCCTAATAAAGATTTTCCCAGAGTGCAAAAAAAATTCTATTCTATTGATTTAGAATGGCTATTCACAGTAAATCTTCTCATGTATCTGATGTACACACTGGGATTAAACTCAATGCAGGGTTATCCTATATAATAGCACTGCCCAGTTCTCTTCAGCAGACCACAACCAGGCTGTCGCAAGTGACGGTGGGTCAGTCAGTGAGTCAGGCTGGCCCTCTGGGATCGGGTACACTGCCGAATATTATTAACATCCTATTAAAATTTTGAATAAAATTTGAATAAATTAAAATCACTTTGGCAGGTTCAGCGGTGTGCATGTAGTGCAGGCTACGTGGGCGAGGGTTGCAGTCTGTCTACCAATGACAACACAGGATGGGGCGACACTGTACTGGTGTCTTCTGGGATTGATTCCATCTTCAAGGCGCGGACCGGTCACACGGCCGAGTACCATGAAGGCACAGACAGTCTGTGGGTCTTTGGAGGTATGCTCGTGTGTTTATTATTCATTACCGTCACTTATTTATATTCATGAGCAAATCATCACATGCCTGCCCATTACATGTATCAAGGAAGGACAGTCTCAGGGTCTTTAGTGGATGCTCCTGTATTTATTATTCATTACCATCACTCATGTATATTCATGAGCATATCATTACCACATGCCAGCCAATTATCAAGCAAGGACAGTCTCAGGGTCTTTGGAGGTATTCTCATGTATGTATTATTCATTACCAAGACTCATTTATATTCATGAGCAAATCATTACCACATGCCAGCCAATTATCAAGGGAGGACAGTCTTAAGGTCTTTGGAGGTATGCTCATGTATTTATTATTCATTACCATCACTCATGTATATTCATGAGCAAAACATTACCATGTGCCAGCCAATTATCAAGGAAGGGCAGTCTCTGGGTCTTTGGAGGTATGCTTATGTATTTAATATTCATGAGACCCTAACTTTAAATGGGTAATTCACAATCACATGCCGGCTGGGTGTCATGAAGGCTTGGACGTCTCTGGGTCTTTGGAGGTGTGCTTATGTACTTATTATTCATAACCTAATTCATATTCATGAGCGAGACCGAAACTCTAAATTGTCAATTAACAATCACATGCCAGCTGAGTATCATGAAGGCAGGGACATTCCCTTGGTCTTTGGAGGAATGCAAATGTATTTATTATTCATTACCTCATTCATATTCATGAACAAGAGCAAAATTCAAGAAACAAGAAGGAAATGACATTTCATTATGAATTTGTGAAAAGAAAGATTTTTATCAAATAATTGCTACACTTTACACATTTTTAGAAGTGAAATATTTTGTTCCCAAATTCATTCTGTGGTTGTCATATAACAAAAGTAAGATCAGAAATGAGAACACTCAAAATATAAAAAAAATATTTTTTAAAAAGGCGGTATTGGTACAGTGTAGGCCTACATTTCATTTGGCATCTATTGTATTCCCATAACATTGTTTTCGTGTATGTAGGTTATGACCTGAATGGTGTTCTAGATGATATTGTCAGGTACAACTTCACGTCCAACCAATGGGAGAGGGCAGTGCCTGCCACGGCAACAAGGCCGGTAAGAATTTAAATTAGGTTTCTCAATAAAAAAGCAACGAAATTCTCAAAACGTCGTTAATCACCTTTCACTTGTGATCAGTCTTGTGACTTGATGTATGATATCATTGTGATTGACATGTGATCGACTTGTGATTGACTTGCGATGGACTAGTGATTGACTTGTGATTGACTTGTGATTGACTTGTGATGGACTTGTGATGAACTTGTGAGTGACTTGTGAGTGACTTGAGATTGATTGTTTTTTATCTTGTTATGGACTTGTGAGTGACTAGTAATCTACTTCTAGTTGACTTGTGTTAGACCAGTGACTTACTTGTTGTTGTGATTGACTGGTGATTATAACTAGAGATGTACTTGTGATGAACTAGTAACTTGTGTTTGGCTTGCCATGGACTTGTGATTGACTTGCGATGGACTCTTAATTGACTTGTGATGAACTTGTGATTGACTTGCGATGGACTCTTAATTGACTTGTGATGGACCTGTGATGGACTTGTGATGGGCTTGTGTTTGACTTGTGATGGACGTGTGTCTTTGTTGTGAGTGTCTTAAGATCTACTAGTGATGGACTTGTGATGGACTTTTGGTAGACTTGTGATAGACTAGTGATTGACTTGTGATAGATTTGTGATTTGCTTGTGATGGGCTTGTAATTGACTTGTGATGGGCTTGTAATTGACTTGTGACCAGGTGATTAACTTGTGATTGACTTGCGATGGACTTGTGATTGACTTGCGATTGACTTGCAGTGTACATGTACTTGTGAAGGACTTGTGATGGACTAGTGACTTGTGATTGGCTTGCGATGGACGTGTGGTGGACTTGTGATGGACTAGTGACTTACTTGTGAGTGACTAATGGATGGAACTCTGATGGACTTGTGGTTGACTTGTGATTAACTTATGATAGACATGTGATAGACACGTGATAGACGTGATAGACATGTGATAGACCTGTGACTGACTTGTGACTGACTTGTGATCGATTTGTGATCAATTTGTGATGGTTGCAATTGCCTTTCAGACTGGCCGCTACGCACACTCCATGGTCCTCTACTACGACGACCTCATTGTCTTCGGGGGTATCCTAGCCAACGGCTCACTTACCAATGAGCTGTGGGCGTTTGACATCACGACCCGCGTCTGGACCCTCCTTCCCGTGGGCAGTGACCTGGCTTCGATGCCGCCGGGCCTGGCCGACCACAGTGGCACCATAGTCAACTTCTCCCACCTTTATGTCTTTGGAGGTAAGTTTCTGTTGGCAGTCGCGGTGGGGATCTACTTCAAATTTGGTAAACTAGTGCAGTGCCCGTCTAAAATGTGCATGTTCGGGAAATGCAAATTGCTTTGCCGCTTACAATATAGGTTGCATATTGGCAGAGTTTTTGGAGAACTGCCCGTGCAAGCAACGCACGCGATTCAATGGTGTTGTTTTCACAGGTTGAACGCACACTTACGTCAAAGTTTGTGCCAAGTTTGAAGTTCGACCACCTACAATGGTCGCTCAGTCGACTGCAAAAATAAAGTGCCCGTGTACATACCAAAACATGGTATGCAGTGCTATTCACCCACACTGGACAATGTATCGCCCTACAATGCACGTGCGTGTGCCCATCCTTTTTGCATTGTTTGCGTCATATTGAGCGCGCGCGCTTTAGATTAAACATGACGTAAACAATTGAAAAGAACGGCAGTGCGTGGTGTTATGTTCTAAGCTGTCACGTTTGCCTCCGAAAATACTGTTTTTTGCAGCTTTTTCGAGAACCGCTCATCCAAATCACTTCAAACTTGACACTGCTCATTCTGTTGTCCCGAGCAATACACCCGCCGATTTTCAACTTCATACGGTGCCCGGTTCTAGAGATAATCGACGGACAGACAGACAGACAGACAGAGATTCCTGGAATTATATTAAGATATATCGTCATTTAATCTAATGTTTTTCTACATCTGTGAAACTTAAATTTAAAAAAGGCTGACATGCGTGCACATGCAGTTAATAAGTGTGCATTGTACAGGTGCACATGTTGTTGCCCACAAATGCAGTGGGTGGGGCTAATGTAATAATAATAATTATTATAAATGCGTATTTATAAAGCGCACATATCCACCAATATTGGTGCTCAAGGCACTACATCATTATTACCCTGCTCATTTGGCAAATGAAACATTACATCTCAGCTCCCTGGGGAGTATAAAGCTCGATGCTGCCATTTCGGCGCAAAGCAGCTTAAATCAACCACAATAACCATCTCTGCCCCCACAGGCACTCATTTACTCCTGGGTGGGGGAAGCAATGAGTGACAAAGTGCCTTGCCCAAGGGCACAAGCACCATGACCCCAGGCTGGACTCGAACCCACAACCTGCAGAATTATCGGCAGACCACAAATTCAGTGCTCAAAACCACGAGGCTACGGGGCTCCGCATGTGTCACTCTATTGTATAAAATCTCAAACTTAATTCAGTCTGTGGAATAATTTAGTTTGTCGCATGTCTAAAATGCCGGTATTTACCCATAAGCACCTCTGCTACATTGTATTACATTGTGTTTATTCACTGAAGAATCAATAAAACCACAGAATACTTGGGCGGTTTCAGGCGCTAGAGTGGCCAAAGGGTTACAATGGTGTCACTTGCTTCCTTGTCTCAGGGAGAAGCCAGAACACCAATTTTGTGGACGGCATCTTTAAGTACGACCTGATCCTGAGGTCGCGCTGGGATGTCATTCGGCCCCTGGGTGGTCGCGAGGCCGACGTCAGGGTCAGAGGTCACAGCGCCGTGTACCACATGGACTCCCAGTCGCTCGTTGTCTTTGGGGGTTTCCGACCGTCTTCAACAAGGTACCTAAAATAAGTCTGTACCAAGCAATATGGCTTATCAGGCCAGTAAGCATACACTATGAGAAAAGATTTCCATACTTGGACGCCACTTTTTTCAATCAATTCGTCACCGACACCACGAAGTAACACCCATCTACATATCAGTAAAAACTAGCAATCGGAGAAAACGGCTACTAACGTTGAACGCCTTCTAAAACAACACTTCAAAACGACAGAGTATTTTCGGTTGGGTTTCTCGTTGTGGACACTTGATGAATTGAATTTATTAAATCTGCTGTTTTCCACCCGTTTGTGTATTAAACAAACAAGAAATAAGAGAAAAAAAGATGAGTGTTAGTTTGTGAAACCGAAAAGGCTGCGAAACTGTAAATTTTCGTTTTCACAAAGTAACACTCTTCATTGTATTCAACATGAGGAAAGTGCAACTTCAGGTCAGCGCGCGCGCGCTCACACAACTTATTACAAGAAGAGTGTTACTTCGTGAAAACGTTTTTGCTCACTTATGAGCAGAGTGCGCGCCATGCATTGCAATGGTAAATGGAACTTGAGTGTTACTTCGTGAAAACGAAAATTGTCACTTTTGCCCAAAAGTTGCCGTGGATACTAAGCGTAATTATTAAAGTAAAGCTCTTGAAGCTTTGAAACTTCGTGCAATGGTAGGCCTTGATGAATAATGTTTAAAAATCAAAAAAACTGGAAATCGAAAAAAATATGGTTTAACACGGTAGAGTGTTACTTCGTGGTGTCGGTGACAAAGTTTTAAGCACCAAAAATTTACTTTCTATGGTTCTTTCATCTATTTTCCCTCCTTGACTCGCACTCTCTACCCTCCTCCAATCCTCTTTATTTACCAGTTACCTACTTCACCGGGATTCGAACCCGCAATCTTGTTATTCAATCACACCAGCCTTATCCACTACACTAGTCGAACGATTGTTGCCAGTAAGGGACAATTTGATGTATATAAAGTATGTCTAATGAATGTTTTAGCCTCTGAAGAAGAACTTGCTAAGTTCGCAACGTCAGGCCACATTAATTTTAAGATTTATATATTTCAGGTCCATCCAGTCAGTAAGCAGTTTGCAGCAGTCTTACTTTTTTTCACGAATATTTAATAAACTAAATATTCATGACAGATTGAATATTCATGATGACGTATTGCACTATCAGTGGGTATGGGTAGTGCGTTGTCGATGGCACGTCATGTGCACAATGCAGTTTATTACATAAGGAGTTATGTTGCCAATCGAGGCTTCTGACAGGCCATAGAAAATGGAGGAACTGCAAGAAAGGCCTATATCTGTGGAGACGTGCCTGCGTTTTGTTCTCAGTTTGTTTTCTTTGGACTATGTAATATGTACCCTTAACCCTAACAGAACTCAACCCATCAAACCCCAACAGCATGTTTTGTTGGAATCTGTCAGGATGGGTACAGTACCCCTACACTGACAGTCTTTTACATTGGGTTGGCACACCTCCAAAATCAAAGTCAGAAATATGTGTGTGCAGTTTCCCATATGGTGTTGGAATCTGCCAGGATGGGTATGGTTCCTAGTAAATCATGCTAGGGAGTTGGGGTTAAGTCAAGTCATTTGACACATCATCATGATGTCGCGGTTCGATAGCCATTTTTACAATGATGCCTTCATTTTGATCAAGTTTCATTGAGGTCTCGAAGTTGTGGAGATTGTATTAAGTGGCAGGATTCTGAGCAACTTCTCTACAATCTTTCCGCAATTACGTTGTCAGTATTGGTGAGTCAAGCAGTTGCTAATGAAAAGTTCCCCGAAACATATCTGGGACATATACAGAGCTTCTTCTGGACAAAGTAAATGATTCTACCTGCAACTTCTCTTGAAATCAAGACAAGTTGTTGGGCCCTGACATTGCCGTGGTTTGGTTTCTCAGATTCAGCGAACGGTCCAATGAGATCTACGCATTCCACGTGGATGAACGCTACTGGATGAAGTGGTCGGTGGACATGAGCGGCGCCCCCATGGGGCGGGCCTTTCACAGTGCCAACATTATCGGCAACTATATGGTCATTTACGGTAAGTGACTTCCTTTAGAAATATCTCTAAGAATTTATAGACCAGAAAAACTTACCAAGACAAATTCTCATCTGGTTTTTTGCTACTTTTTAGCAATAGACATGATAGAAAATAATTCACAGTTAAATGAGACATTGAACAAAATAATTGGCCCAATAATTACCACACTTACACATTTTCAAATTATTTGAAGCCCAAAAGTATGTCGGTTCTTTGCAGAGTGGACTGGTTCCCACCCCCTTTTAGAATCGATAATGTGGTGAACCGGAACCAGTCTACTGGCAGGGCGGATCAATTTGTGTGCAAAAGCTACCAAAACTGTGAAGCGTTCTGGCAAAATGAGACAGAACTTGGCAGAGGTTGAAATGAGGGTTTGCAGGTATTAGGAAAGAGAATAAAATAGTCCTTACTATACTGCTTGTTGCACGTCAATCGGACATTCCGTTGACACGTTATGGCAGTTTAAAGTTCACATTTATCCACACGTCAAGAAAGTAAAATACTGAGAAAAAGGCTGTTGAAATTTCTAGTTTTGAATTCGTGAAAATAAAAAACATTCTTACATTTTGAGGAAACTGTAACTCCAAACAAGTAAGATTTGAAGCTTTGCATGATGGAGATTCTAAATAATGAACGATTTGCGGAAACACCATGTGCGAATAATTTCTCAACTAAGAGAATGGTTCTGAAAAGAACCAGAGGTATAAACTTGACGTTCCAGTCAGTATGCTCTGACCGTCTTCAGGAGAGTGCCTAAACTCAGAAAACAAACAAAAAATACGAAACAGCAATTCGTCGTGTGCCCGGCAGAAGGGCATATGTACATGTATGCCCTCATGCGCAAACGCGTAATCACCGAAATGTTCCCAGCAAAAGGGCATATGCAGAAATCTGCCTCTATTTTAATGAAATTTAAACATTTTCGTCAGAAATTAACACAAGTTGATCCGAAACTCATGCTTTAAACGTGTGATAAATTTCAAATGCGTACGATTTATATTACATGTGGGAGAAAAATAGATTCATACTACGTAAGGTGCTGTGGTCCAATGGTTATGGTGTTTGACTCGTGTGCCGTGGTACATGAGTTCGAATCCTGACCGTGGGAACATGGTACTTGTGCTCTTGGGCAAGGCACTTTACCATTATTGCTTCGTCCTTCGGATGGGACGTAGGTCCCGTGTTGTGTAATGCACGTAAAAGAACCCAGTAACACTTATCGCTAAGAGAAGGGGTTTGCCCCGGTGTTTCTAGCAGTGGCTGCAATATGCGCTGCAGTACCTTGTAAACCATTATAAGGTACTACATAATGGGTCTCATATTTCTCATAAACTTCATATACCTTTCTTTAATAATAGACATAATTTCCAGCGCCTTGAGTACCTAATTGTTGGTAGATACGTGCGCTATATAAGACTCCGATATTATTATTACATGTGGGTGAACAATCTAACCTTTTAATGCAATTTTCCTGAAAATGATCTTTACATCAGAACGCTCATATGCCCTTCTGCCAGGCACCCGACGAATTCTTCCTGCGTACCTTCAGTAAAGTACTGAATGGTCAAATTCGTTGAAGAATAGTGCATATTGAAGTTCTTAATTTTGTTTTTTAGGGGGTAACGTGCACAGGCACTACACCCGACCTGAGGACCACTACCCGCCCACCCATGAGAGATGCTACGATGAACGCATCGAGCTTTTCCACCTTGGCTGTCACAAATGGGCTGACTTTGATACGCTGGCCCAAGGATTCCAGTGTAAGTTTGAAAGGGCCCATGAAATAGATTTGTTTTAAACCCTCCTAGTCTTCTGCACTTCACAACCCTTCAGGTTTTGCAAAACCACTTTTGCCCATAGAGTTACCACCCACACTTCATATTCCTTTAACCCTTACTGCCCTGAATCCTCCAAAATTCTTTTTGCAAATTGGAGGAATTTGCAGGATTGAGGTTACATGGCAAAAGTGCATTGCTGATTTCGGAGTACGCAGTGTCAAGGTCTTAAGCCAGACCTTGTGTTGTTTATGCTCAGCCGTGCGTTAATTTAGTCCTTGATTATACTTGAAATCCCCCGCACTGCTCGAGGATGTCACTGCCTCTGCCTCGGCCTACTGACAGTCGTAGCCGGAGGATTTTGCAGGATTCAGGCAGTGGTCACCCCTCCATGGACCATATTCAAGAAATAGCGAAGGAATTTGCAGGATTGAGGCTATATGCTATTTTTCCATGAGGCCGATTGGAGGATTTTGCAGGATTGAGGCTACATCCTAGCAAAAAGGCCGAGGGAGTTAGGGTTAAGGTAATCTTCTGTTGAGTATGGATAACACTTCAAATCCCTGCACTATTCTTTGTGTGGTTAAGCTCAGGGCAAGCAGGTGGATTAGTCACGCTTTACTGCTCTCCACAGTGTTGGTTTTTAAGCTCTAGCAGGAGCTTCTATGTTACTTGGTGTTCGTTCGGTCTGTCTGTCTTTCTGTCTGTCTGTCCCCGAAAACTTATCAAAAGTGTGATGTTCCATATGTTCCATCAGCGTCATATTTTTCGGTGTGGCACTTTTCAAGCTCTGGCAGGGATCCTTTTGATCGATGTCATGCAGGACTCTCATGCAAGACTGTTGCAACACAGCCAGAGCTTGTTGTGCACTCGCACGTGTTTTTGTGCAGTGACTCTCTGTGTGACAGATCCTTTACTGCAGCGTCAGCCCGAGTGTGGAACCAACTCCCTCTGGCTATCAAATCATCTCCATCCATCACAACATTTAAGACAAACATAAAATCTCACCTGTACAAACAAGCTTACTCTCACAACACACAATCCTAACTTGACTTTCTCCTCAAGCGCCATGAGCGCCTTTTTTAGGCGGATACCAGCGCTTTACTGGTATCTATAAATGTTCTTTATTATTATTATTATTATTATTTCACACTTCATATCCCTTCACCTGAAACTGACATGCAGGGTTTTAAAGGGTTTTGTGTGTTGCTCTAAATGTTGACATCCAACCAGGAGGGCTAATGCAATCCTTGAAAATCCACCTTCGTTTCTGATTTACTTTATCTTCTATCTTCATATTGCTGTTTTCTTTGGTTTTATTTTTTTTGGTTTTTATGCTAATGGAATTTCATTAATGAGGAGAACAAAATGTTGTTATTCAAGGCAGAAACTTTAGTAGCTTCTTTATTACCAAAAGTTGTCTAGATTTGGCGTTTTCATGCAGTAAATTCTCTGTTCTGTGTAAGTCCAAGAAAAGGGCCCTGTTTTACCCATACGTAATGCCACTTTCTATAATTACATAATCATCTCAAATATTAATCACATACATAACATTTTGTGGGTATTCGTCTAGTGGATGCCCAACAGTAGAATAAAAAACAACGAAATCTATGAATATGTTTAGAGGGTTAAAGTTTGGTTAGGTATGGTACATAGTGTGCGCGAATTCTGGGATTCGCCCTCTTGGTGAATTGTTGTTGACTTTTCAGGCAGTCTTTCAGGCACTTTCTCATTGCGGAAATTTCTGGGTATGAAACCAAGAATTACTTGAAAGCACACACGGCAATATCAATACAAGCCTGAAGAAACCTGTTAGGAAAAGACAGATGTTCAGTTTTAGAGACAAGAGCTCCATCAGTATGTCGGCCCAGTTGGAATTCGTATCCGGGTCTCGGATTAAGTTCCTTGTGTAAGTTCTTAATTGGGATTTTATAATTTGGTCTTCAAATTTCCAGCTCCCGCTGAAACAGAACATTTGCACCGTGTCACAAGAGGGCGCTTTGGTCACGCCGCGGCGGTCCGCGACGGCAGCACGCTTTTAGTCGTCGGCGGATACAGCGGACAGGTGTTGCACGACCTGATTGCAGTCAAGATGCCTGGGACGGTGGCCGTCAATTCCAAGTTGGGCGGCTCGATTCTAGACCAATGCGGAATGCACTCCACGTAAGTTCTTCTCGATTGGGTCTAATTCCAAGTTCGCCAGCTCCATTCTCAATGTGACCAGTGCCAAATGCACACCACTGTGTAATTTTGTAAGTGGATCAAAATTCAGCACTATATCCTATGTGAAGACGTCTCTATTCTGAGTCGGGTCCAATTCAAAGTTGGGTTGGGACCATTCTAGGGCAAAGCCCAAAGTATTCCACATAAATAAAATATGGATTCAAAGTTGGTTTCAAATTCCAAGTTGGGGGCACGGGTTCTGACTTGTGCAAAGTGCAGTCTTTGTGAGTAGTTAAGGGAAGAAACAACATTTGCAAACATCAAAAAACGAAATGATCAAATTATCACAAAATACCTTAACTGGATTGTTAGGGAATGACTGTCCAAAGCATCCTGTAAAATCATCGCACCTTGTGCGCCGACTTTTTCAAGAAAAACTGTGTTTTTCCAGTGCCTGTCGGCCGACCTGTGTTGTAGAAAACTGGCTTATTTTCAAAAACTGCTCCTAATTTTTCAGATTTAGTTATTCTGCATTTTCTTTGCAATTGATTACACACCTGTGAAGAGGTACAAGCATGCTAGACTGATTCTCTGACCTTACAATTCCCCAAAGTCTACAAATTGCTCCGTTTTATCTTAAGTAGGGTCAAGGAGCCAGACTAGATGAACATTATAGGTTTTTTTGGTTTTTCCAGCATCTACAAGCCCAAAACGTGAAACAAGTCAATTTAACAATATTTGGAATAACATTCTAATTCTCCAAATCCATTTATTTCTGAAAATTGCAGCAAAAGCAAATGATGTACATTCCCTTTAAGCCGAGTACATTCTGTATGTGCTGATCTCAATTTGGCATAATTCCAAGTTGGGTTAATAAATGCTAGATAGGGCCAAGTCCATCTATCGCTAGAACTTCTCGATGCCAAAGTGGGGCTCAATTCTAAATTGGGTTTAACTTGTTGTATTGTTTTGTTTTGCAGGAAAGCAATATGCCTGAGTGATCCCAATTGTGGATGGTGCGCGGCCAGTAGCAATTGCCTCGGGCACTCGCAACAGAGTGTAAGTTAACACAAAAAAAACACGTACATTCAACACTTTATTTTCCATACATCCAACACTTTATTTTCTATAGAGGTTGCTTCCAAATAAGTTTTTGTACACATTGTAGGCCTGACAAAGTCTGAAAGAAAGTTTGCATATAAATACATACAATGTAATGTTAAAGCGAACATGACAACAACAAAAAGAGAAATGGTGAAAAAATTTGGTCCATGTTGTTGTTTTGTATAGCCATCTACTCTGTAAATTCAAACTACATTTTATGAAATATTAATAAATAGAAATCATTCAGAAAATAGCAACAAACTTCTGTGATTCACTGAAAGAGTACTTTACAGTAATTGTGACATTTAAATGTAACAGTTTATCAAAAAAAGCAAAGAGTCCCATAAAAAACATCTGTGTGTCTGTCCAAGGCACACAGATTTGTAGTTCCATGTATAAATTTGAAGTTCCCTTGATATAAGCTTTGAAAAATGCACCTGATCTAATGTCACATGAACGCGATGTCATCATGACGCCGTTTTTCAAAGTACACCTTTATTAGGTGAAGTCACGTGACACTTGAAGACGTCACATTTAATTTTCAATACTCAACTATTGTACAGGGTCTTTGTCTCTGCCAAGTTTCACTTTGTTATTTATAAGATGACTTGTAGAAAAAAAAGTTTACAGGATTTGGGTGGAAGAACAAACAGTAAAAGCAGAAGTAAAACAAAATCAAAACAAAAACAAAGTTGTTCTGGAAAGATAGTGTAAAATAAAAAAAGTACTTGATATTAGAAATAAGTACAGTGAAATCTCGATAAGTCAAAACCTGCTAAATCAAAACACTTCTAACTCGAAAGTAAGAACTTATTTCCATCTATTGTTGTTGAAAAGAAAATCCATGTGCTAACTCAAAACTCTGCTTAACTCAACATTTGAGCCCATTCTCCTAAGGTTTGACTATCAGTATTCTACTGTTTGTGATGATTTGCTTTACATTTGCTTTGTCAAACCTTCTGCATGTTGCAGAGATGCCACTTTTCCGGTTTTAACCAGAATTCCGGTTTTAAAAAAAATCTCACAAAATTCCGGTTTTTCCGGCCGTCAAATTAACCAGAAAAAGAGAAGAAAAACTGTGGAAATGCGTTGATTTTTACCTCGATTTAGTACATTTAGGCGCACGCACACAACGTTGTTCGTTGAAGTAGTCTTAAAAACAGTCTTTGTGCATGTTGTTGCTGAGCCTTACAAGCGCCTCGCGCGTGCTTCACCGTGTGCGGGCGTGTTGTGTGCTAAGCACACGTAGCATTCAGCCTGGAAATCAAGTCTATCATTTCAGCTATCAGTGGTTTCCGATCGCAGTGATAATGTGAATACAAAAAATGCGGGTACCAACCATGTTTTCGTTGAGTGCATCGCGTAGTGCAAGGATCATGTACACCGACGGCAGTGTTGTGGAATCATGCACGTTTCGTGTCGAATATTACGTTGGAAATTCGGGTAGGCAGAATAAATATTAGGAATATGGAAAAAGTCAAAGTGATTGAATGAAACGACAGCTGAACCGAAGGCCATAGAAGCAAAATTAAAAAATAAACAGAACTTGGCTTGGCTACAAGATAAAGATGACAACGGGGACTTTGTGTCGGACACGGAGTGGCTTTTTCACACACACAAAAGTTCCATTTTTTCAAGCAGCCGTTCCGTTTTTTTTTCAAGCAGACCCAGTTCCGTTTTTTTTAAGCAGACCCTGTGGCATCTCTGATGTTGCCTGTGGGAGCTCTTTAGAAATTATGATTCACTTTCATTTTGCAGTCGTGCCCTGAGCCGCAGAGCTTCCTTCAAGGCTCCTGCCCCAGCATCTGCAACAGCCTAGTCTCCTGCGAAGCCTGCATCATCTGGGGGAAAGGGGTCACGCTGTCTGACCCCTCAGGGTCAAGGGTCAATGAGCAGTGTGGCTGGTGCGTCCAGGAGCAACAGTGTTACCCTATTGGAGGTATGGTGGACCGCGAAGACATTTTCAAATGAACCATGAAAGAAAACAGACTGGCATTATAATCAAGAGAATAGGCCTGCATCTGCATGGTTTTGTTAGTTGCAAAGCTAAAAGTAATGATACTGTGTTTCTCCAGTTGTTTTGGCATTTAACCACTTAAAGGGAAAATACAACATTTGCAAACATCAAAAAATAAAACTACCACATCATTTTGAAATACCTTGCTGGACTGTTAGTGAATGACAGTGTAAAGCATCCTGTAAAATCATGGCACCTGGTATACTGTCATTTTCAAGAAAAGTGGTATTTTTGTATCAATTTCCAACGCTGATCGGCCCACCAGCGTTGGAAAAAACTGGCTTTTTTTCAAATACTGGCCCCAGTTGACCATCGCACTTGTTTGCAATCGATTACAAACCTATGAACGGGTACAAGCCAGCTAGACTGGTTCCCTGACCTTACAATTCCCCAATGTATGTAAACTGCTCTGTTTCTTCTTATATGGAGTCAGGGAACCAGACTACAGGAAAATGATTGTTTTTCTTGGTTTTTATAGCATTTTCGAACCCAAAACCTCAAAAAAGTCAGTGTAACTATATTTGCTATATATTTCCAACCCCCCAATTCCATCCATTTCTGAAAATTACCGCAAAAGCAAATGATGTATATTCCCTTTAACGCTGGAGGACAAGTAAACATGATCTGGCTGTCTGTGTACACAAGCACGGCTGATGGGTTAAAACGTCAAGAGTGCCTGGACTCGCCTCCGGAAGACGTCTAAACACGTCGGGAGAATGCAAAGTTAAACTTGTGGAGCATTGGATTAAGTCAGCGTTCCAGATTTTATTCAAACTTGACTCGCAGATGGCTTATTCAAAGCTCTGCCACAGTTCATGTCAAATTAATGTCCTCATTGTTTTGAAACTGCTTTATTGCAGCTCTGCGTTGCGACGAGTAGAAAGTAATCAATTATGAAGCATTGAGTGGATGTACTTGAGCTAGAGAACAGAGCTTTCAAAATGAATTATTAAACAATTGCAGCTTCAAATTTGCCACTTTGTAATAAACATTTTTGTTCCAGAGCCGGGTGGTGCGTGCGGAGACCATTCGTCCAGCACCGACCCCACGGGATGGTGGGGCCTGAACGGCACCTTCGTGACGGAGTTTGCCCAGTGCCGGCTGCAGGATATGCCGCCAGGAATGACCTGGATCAAGTACCGTCACCCGCAGAACACCACACAGCCAGATGAGGTATGGAGTCTATACACGAGCAGTATAAGGCACTTTGTCAGCTTTAGTCTAGGGGCAAGACGTTGTGGTGGTTTAGATACGCGCTAACCCGCCGCCGCGATGGCACGTCGCCATGAGAGGGCGTTAGCATGACGAAGGGCTTTCACCTGTGAACCGCCAGTAACAACATCTAGGGAATCTAGTAAAATCTAAAAACAAATGGGGAAAACTAGAGCACGTCAGTCAATTAGGTGAAGTTGAGTGACACTTGAAGACGTATAAATGGTTATGTACATTTTCAATACTCAACTATGGTACAGGGTCTTTGTCTCTGCCAAGTTTTACTTTCCTATTATACTTCATAATGTCAAGATGACTTGTAGAAGATCTTTTACATTGTCTATGGGATTTGGATGGAAGAACAAAAAGTAAAAGCAGAAGTAAAACAAAAAAATCAGAACAAAAACAAAGGTTTTTCTGGAAAATTCTGGAAAATCAAAAAATGCTTTTTATAAGTACTGTGAAATCTCGAAAAGTCAAAACCTGGTAAATCGAAAACCCTTCTAACCCAAATGTAAGAACTCATTCCTATCTATTGTTGTTGAACAGAAAGTCCATTTGCTAACTCAGAACTCTGCTTAACTCAAAATCTGAGCCCATTCCCCTATTAAGTTTGTGTGGGGCAATCGATATGGAGTGCTTTGCAGTGCATATGTTATAACTGTCAAGGGCTTTAACCTGCTAAAAGGATGTGGACAATGAACCAACGTCGAAAAAAAGTTACTGTCAAAAAAAGTGGCACCTGACAATAACCAACCGCAACTGCATAATAAAGTAACATCACATTTGTGTATGTGTGTATATACATAGTTTTTCGAGCATGAAAGTTTGTTTCCTGTCCCATTATTATACATGTATCAATTAAATGAAAAATACCTTTTTGAGACTTTGATCACAAAACTCGTATTCACAGTGGCAAACAGCTATTCGAATATTCGTTTGATGACCGAATATTTGAGTATTTGGTATATTCGGCACAGCCCTAGCGCTGACTGTAGAGTGCTCATGAAATGAAATTCGTAAAGGGCAAAACCCAATTAAGAATAATTAGCTGTTTCGGCAAACAGCCGAAACAGCATTTGTTTTCGTTAAAGGTTTTTTTCTTCTTTTTCAGCCATTCCTCATAGCATTTGTACACGTTTTTACAGTGGAAGGCACTTTGGGCACTAAAATCGATCCGATTGACTTTATACTCGGCACACACTTAGACCAGCATCTGAAGATGTGTGCCGAATATTGACATCATCGTGACGTTATCACGTGCCAAGTTACGTAACATTATATGCAATTTTTTTTTTTTTTTCAGGTGACGATCGTCGAAAAGACAGACAGGAGTTTCAGTTTTTACTACGTCAGCATTCAGGAGGAAAAGACAAACGGCGGGGAGTACATCGCGGAGTACAAGGGCTTCCTGCGACCGAACGATGCGGTGCCTACCGGGGACGCGCAACTGCGCGTCTGGATGGGCAGCTCCAACGCCATTTCCTCGCTGTACCTCAGCACCGACGCAAATCCGCAGAATGCTGTACGTTTTCTTTCCGTCTTTGGAATCATATTCCGATTCCAAGCCGGTTTCAAAATTTTGTTCTGTATTTTGGAAATGTCGAATTTTATAAAAGTACATTAAAAAGTACTGAAGTCGTTCGTCCTTTCTTGCTCTTCATTGTTTATTACTGCTATCCATTTCACTCTGTTCATTGACCTCGGTCTCCCCAGTACCACTTTGATTTTTCCAATTTTAATTTTTAGACTGTGAAAAATAAATTGGAAATTAAATGTCATTTTTTTTTAACTTTGATATTCACAATCAAGGAAATGTTCTTTACAGGTTGTCTTTGAACTTTACTCTTTCAAACGACAAAAATTAAGGCCATACATGTGCAAAACTTATTCTGATCATGTAAAAACTCTTCAATAGTCATGCCATATTGATCAATCGTTAAGCCATTCACCAAATGATGAATAATTTGCTCTCCATTCCTTAATCTGTGCATGGGGAATTTTGAAGCAGTTTTCAATTTTGTTTATAACAGTAATAGTAAGATGAAAGCACTACATGTATTAATTCAGTTCAATTCAGTTCAATTTTTAATTGAATTTATTTATTCTGATCATGTAAATACATGAAACTCAACTTCTTGTTCGGCAATTAGAACTTCACATTAAAAGATCAAACATTTACATACATACAACTCATTACATTCACTATTAATCCACAAGAAATATTTACTGAAATAGCAAATAAAAGACATAAAGGAAAAAGAAGCTAAAAAAAACATATTTGTTAAAAGTATTGTCACAATTTCTTTTTCCTCCACAGGAGAGAGTGGCCTACTATGCGTTAGATGATGAACAGTTAGTGGAAGCCGAACGCCCCAACAACGCGGCCGTCTTTCCAGTCAACTCGAAGACGGCGGCGTACTACGTCCTTCAGGAGGAGCGACAAGTTATCAAGATGAGCGCCGTGCATTCCGTCATGGATCTGAAGTGGAACGGAAACCATCCACTCGGGCTCGTGTCACAGGTAAGGCCATGAAAAACGTACATGAATGTGTGGGTATGGTATTAAACGCCCTAAGAATTATCTTGGTAGGTCGGCAGGTATCTAGGTAGGTAAATAGTTTTATTTTGTTACTGTTATCCCCCTGGCTTTCAAGCGAAACAGGGGAATATTGCAATCGCGCATTCCTTCTGTGTGTGTGTGCCTTTCTTGGTTAGGTTCACTTTAAGTGCAGTCATCAATCTCAACCAAACCTGAAAGGTGGTCTGTAGAGAGAAGGCCGATCTCAAAAAAATCCTTTCCAATATAGATATGTACGAGTTCTCTGGAGAGCTCTGCTCAGTATTACTAACATGACTAATGACTCTAACATGTGGGCCTTTGCACACTAAAGGGGTACAAAAGGATGACATGGGAAATGAAGCAGGATAATAATATCAAGTTGTTTGTCCTATTTTCTACTTGTACATTCCCACCCCATTGTTGAGGATTGTGCTTTTAATTTATTTGAAACTTTCCAGACAAATTTGACAAGATATTTATGCTCACAGTGCTATGTACGTAACATGGACAGAAAGGTTTCCCGTGGATTGCGCAAGTTTAACTTGCAGTATTTTTTTTGGTTTGTCTTAATCATTGTTATACTTTGTTTAATACTTAAGGGTCACTTTGACAGTGTTCTGTTTATTTAATCTGTTTAATAATTAAAAGTAAAGGGGACGAAGCTGTGTTCACAGTAACAGAGTGCCACTCTCTCTTTCGAAGCGATTGGGCTAAACTAAATTTTGACTAATTCTTGTTCTATTTACATGTATTACTCTGTACAGCGCATTGGGACTCCGTGTGTATAGTGCTTAATAAGAACGGTTTTATTATTATTATAATAACAAGTATAGCCTTTAGGAGACACTTTAGCGTCAAATGTTATACTTTTGGGAGACATGTCGAATTAGGGAGACATTTCAATGTCTCCCTAATTCCACATTCCTAGGGGAGTGTGTGGCCTAGTGGTTAGGGTTCGTGACTCATGATCAGAGGGTCCGGGGTTCGAATCCAGCCGCTGGTCATATATTGTGTCCTTGGGCAAGGCACTTCACCCCCACTTGCCCCTCTCCACCCAGGAGTATAAATGGGTACCGGCATTAGCTGGGGAGTAACCTGCGATGGACTAGCATCCCATCCAGGGGGAGTAGAAATATTCTCAGTCGTTTCATGCTACTGAAACCGGAGATAAACGCCGGCCTAATGAGCCACATTGGCTCGGGACAGACTTTACTTTTTTTAATTCCACTTAGAGGCACAATTTTGATGTCGCAAATAGGCTAGATCGATTGCTCGTGGTCCAATTAGTAAAAATACCGAAATTTGTGGGGGTTGGATAAGGTAAAATTGGGGTAAGGGTCATTAAAGTTGGAAAAAAATGTGTGGACAAGTCTATGGGAATGTCTCCCTAATACCCAATTATCGGTAATAGTCATAATAATATTGGATGGCTTTGAGGTGGATACAAGAATATATGGCACAAGCTATGACAATATTGCACGAGTGTAAATCAAGGGTTACAAATTAATTTAAGTTAAAGGGAATATACATCATTTGCTTTTGTTGTAATTTTCAGAAATGGATGGAATTGGGGGGTTGGAAATATATAGCAAATATAGTTACACTGACTTTTTGAGGTTTTGGGTTCGAAAATGCTTTAAAAACCAAGAAAACAATCATTTTCCTGTAGTCTGGTTCCCTGACTCCATATAAGAAGAAACAGAGCAGTTAACATACATTGGTTAATTTTAAGGTCAGGGAACCAGTCTAGCTGGCTTGTACCCGTTCATAGGTGTGTAATCGATTGCAAACAAGTGCGATGGTCAATTGGGGCCAGTATTTGAAAAAAAGCCAGTGTTTTCCAACGCTGGTCGGCCGACCAGCGTTGGAAATTGATACAAAAATACCACTTTTCTTGAAAATGACAGTATACCAGGTGCCATGATTTTATAGGATGCTTTTACACTGTCATTCACTAACAGTCCAGCAAGGTATTTCAAAATGATTTGGTAGTTTTATTTTTTGATGTTTGCAAATGTTGTATTTTCCCTTTAATTTATTTGGATAAAACTCTAGACCTTCTCAAGGGAGTATCTGCAACCCTACTATTCCGGCGCCTGCGATTCCTACGTCACCTGCTCCGGCTGCTTGACAGACGCGTCCTGTGGCTGGTGCCCGGCCAGCGAGACCTGCGAACTGCGCAGTAAGACCACTGCAGCGGAGGACCACTGCGGCACGGCTACCGGCGCCATCATGCACCACCTGATCACGCAGTGGGACCAGTGTCTGGACTGTAAGCTGTACGTGGACTGCTTGTCGTGCACCGAGGTACGTTGACACAGTTTTTTATGGTCCGCAGACAAAACTTTAAAACGGTGGTTGTGTTTATAATTCCAGAACTTAAAAAGTACATTGTGATTTGTGATTTGAATGATTCATGTACTAAGGCCAAAAAAAAGTCTCCGGTTTCTGGTATGGAGCTTGCCCAAACAGTGTTTTATTTACCTGATTTTTTTGCTTCAAATGTCGGCTGATGACTGCAAATGGTGCCCGACAAAACTTAGTGCAAATATATGGGAGTCCAGAGAGGCCACATAAAGATTATTCTCAACCATAACCCAATCTAAAAACACGTTAAAATTGCGCAGCAGCACGATTCCAGTCAAACCAGTGAGTTTGGCCGTTTTGAGACTTCATCTTTTATTGAAAAAAAAACTTTTTCATTTTGCCGATGCGCATGGCTACGGCGACGCGCGCGCGGAGACTTTTTTGGGGGTGCCTAAAAGAAAGCTTATTAATTGGGCTTTCATATCCTAGATTTTGAAAGTGCTACCGGTACATGCAGAACTTCATTAAGAATATAGTCCTGCCAATTGTGGTTTCCTTTTTTTTTTTACTCACCATGTAAACTATATACAGGAAAAGACGATGAATAGTTATGTGGAGTCAACTATATAAAAATGAACTCTGGAAATAGCTTTACTAGGCTCGCTTCGGCCCGTTATAACACATCCGTGTAAAACAAATTATCAAATGTTTGAATTAGAAAGTTGTAAAGATAACCTGTACTGTGCTTAACTGCTCCTAGAGTGTATGGGCTTATGAATATCGGGGAGTAAATACAATGTAATAAAGTTTTATACAATGTAATAAAGTTTTATACAATGTATGTTGTAGATTACAAAGTAAATATGCGTTTTTTTTTTTTTCCTCCCAGAATCCTTTGTGCGAGTGGCTTATTTCGGGAGATGATGTCAGGTGCACCAGGCGAGGGCGCTTTCTCACCAGCATCAAGGACCCGAATCAGTGCACTCTCAACTGCCACGAGTACGACATAAGACTCTTACATAATTATTAATGTTGTATTTTTTCAAACATAGTTTGTAAATTGACCTTCTGTACAGTTCCCTGAATGTTCTTTGCAATATGGAAATAACTGTTTAGAGGAATTGAAAAAAAAATGAAAAATTTAAGTGTCTGGAGATTTTTGCAAATTATGTAAATGAAAATAACCATGAAGGCCCTTGAAAAACAGAACCTTTTTCCTATCTGGAAACATTTCAAATTTGACGAAAATACTTTTGTCACCCAATCATTTTTTTTCTTCTGTTTTTGTCAATCACAAATCAAAGTTGAAACATAGTCAACCAGACATTTACCAAACACCAAACAAATAGCTATGTTAAGATTTCTTAAAACAATGATGTAGGAAACACCCCTTGTTTCAACAATAGTTTGTCCCTTCATCTGTGCAGATACACTAACTGCTCGGACTGTTCCAAGCGCACAAAGGAGTGTGCGTGGTGTGAGGAGACCAAGTCATGTTTCACGTTTGGGACATACGTAACATCATTCACCTATGGCCAGTGCCCAAACTGGTTTGATTTGTAAGTTAACCTTTTTTTTTGTCAAGATGTGCACATTATTTAATTTTATTCTGCTCAGATGAACCTTCCTATGCAAACATATATTCTGTGCAAAGTTGTCCTTTCAGTCAAATAAATCAAGTGACTGTTTTCAACAGTTAAGAGCTCCCAGCCTGCATGAAGCAGGATTGACTGGCTGTGACTGTTTATGTAACTTGATACAGCTATGCTTTGACTGCAGGTGATTGATAAGTCAGCTGTGCCTCAGTGTTGTAGTACTTGTACTCGAGTACTACTTGAGTACTTTTTTTAGAATACTCGTACTCGTACTTGTACTCAAAAGTCAAAGTACTCGTACTCGAAATGGTGGTACTCGTACTCAGGCAGCAAAGTACTCGTACTTAACATGTCGAAATTGTACTCGATCATCAAAGTACTCGTACTCGAAGAGCAGTACTCGGGGAAAAAAAATGGTATAGCTTGACTTACCACGGCCTTATTTTGTTATTGATACTTTCAGTTGGAAATGGTTGCTTGGCTTGCGGAGAAATCGAAGTTTCCTGATTTTCCTCTGTGCACGTCCGGACAAACACATTTAACTGCTAGCCATGAGTGGGTCTGACTGGGCCTGGGCCAATTACGCACAATGAACCATTTGCCGTATGGCCGTATTCGGAAATAGAAGTACTCGTACTCGTACTCATACTGGGAATACAAGTACTTGAATACTCGTACTCGGAAATCTGAGCTTGTACTCGGAAGTACAAGAACTCGTACTCGGAGACCTGAGCTTGTACTCGGAAGTACAAGTACTCGTACTCAGAGACCTGAGCTTGTACTCGGAAGTACAAGTACTCGTACTCAGAGACCTGAGCTTGTACTCGGAAGTACAAGTACTCGTACTCGGAGACCTGAGCTTGTACTCGGAAGTACCAGTACTCGTACTCGGAAAGCTGAGCTTGTACTCTGAAGTACAAGTACTCGTACTCAGAGACCTGAGCTTGTACTCGGAAGTACCAGTACTCGTACTCTGAAACCTGAGCTTGTACTCAGAAGTACAAGTACTCGTACTCGGAGACCTGAGCTTGTACTCGGAAGTACCAGTACTCGTACTCGGAAACCTGAGCTTGTACTCGGAAGTACAAGTACTCGTACTCAGAGACCTGAGCTTGTACTCGGGAAGTATTCGTGCTCGGTAACCTAAGTACTCAACAGTACTTGGTACTCGGAAAAATGTACTCGACTACAACACTGCTGTGCCTACTGGCCTGCTTTTGTCTGCTGACCGAATTAGACTAGTCACAGTGCTTGCTTGAAATATGATCTGACTGTTGGTGACTAGCCTGTGTAAAAGGCATGGCAGGGGAAGAGGACTGAGGTTATAATAATAATTGCGCTTATATAGCACTTTCCATTGTATCAACAATTTCAAAGCGCTTTACAATTATTACCCCGTTCATCAGGCCATGGGACCATGCGGCAGCCGATATCAGCGCTCAATCGGTCCTCGACCCTCACAGGTACCCATTTATTCTCCTGGGTGGAGAGAGGCAATTGTAGTTCAGTATCTTGCCTAAGGACACAATCACCATGTTCCTGGCAGGGTTCGAACCCGCGCACCATCGTACATGAGTCAAACACCGTAACCACTAAACCATAGCGTTCTGCTGTCCATGAAAAGAATTCAGTCCAAAGTAATCTATTTTATGAATGCTTTCTTTGTTGCAGGAACAAGGCCTGTCCATCGTGCGCAGCTCACACGGACTGCAAGAGCTGCCTGGCAGATTTCAAGTGCGGCTGGTGTGGTAACAGGGACAACCCAACTCTGGGAAAGTGAGTACTGGCCAGTTCCCATTGCGAGCAACCTCCATTAGAAACTTCTGAGAGAAAACAGTCAATCTAACTGTAAACTGGCCAGCCCTCTGATATATCTTATTCCTTTGTCCAAACAGTGGCTTTATAATCCCTAACACTTAGTGTAATCAAGCCACATGTGCTGTCACACAGCTGATATTGACATATAAGTGCAGGGGATTAGCAACAGTATCTGATAACAGGGAGTCCTTTTTGTATCAGCGCATTTTGAATATTCAAATATTCCATCCAGTCTAAAATAGAATAAACAAATACTTATTATTCTTAAGTGTACAGCGACAAGCCTCATCTGTAAGCAACGCACACAGTTGTGTTTTACTTTACTCTCCAGGACAATGCTTTGTGTTTCCCCCTGCAATATAACACTCTCCCATAGACAAAGCACACACACTCACGATGCAGGACTGTTTTTCAACAGAAGACGAATGCTCGAGGACAACAAAGAGTCTGTTGTTCTCTGTCTGTCTGTCTGTCCTCGGGGTGTATGTAGTACATGTACACACATACTGGAACATGCAACAGCCTTTGTTAGGTGTTGGCTAACTGTTTTTTTTCAACTGTTCCTCCACTAAACATTTAACAAAGTAACCATGGCTTCCCATCCTAATTTCCTTTTCAGTTGTCAAGAGGGTAACTTTGGCAGCCCAGACTCGGCCCAGTCCTGTAGCGCCCTCGTGGCTGCGCAGTATAACATCTCGGAGAGCGAGCCGGCCGATTGGTCGTACCGGATCTGCCCGGACGTGGAGGAGTGTATGCTGGAATTGGACGACTGCCACGCCAACGCTACCTGCGCCAACACGTTTGACTCATACGAGTGCACCTGCAACCGGGGATTTGAGGGGAACGGAAGAGACGAATGCGTCAAAACGTGAGTTGGCCTAATAAACAAATAAGAGTTTTAAGGATTACCATATGTTGGCTTGCTCATTCCCCCTTCTCTGTTACGGAATTATTTTGTGTCAATGCGTAATTGAACTTATACATGTAACAGAAGTTTAACTAACCAATTAGATGTACACTTACCTTTTCAGAATGTTTGTATTGACATTATTGTCAGCAAGTGCGACCGTCTTTATGTTCGAAATAGATTTATGAGTGGATTTTTTTCTAGCTCAAGAATTTTTGGGTGGATACTCTTGTGTCTATTAGCCCTAACCCTGGCAGATGTAACACAGTGCATCAGCTGGAAAAGCCTGGTGCACTTTCATGCATTCAGCTATCGGCACCAGTGCGTAAATGACCAGCTCTGAAACAATGAGAGCTAGTCCCTTTGAGCAATGCCACAGTTGTATCCGGCTGCATTCGGTGACCACAGACTCTGAGGCAGTTCGGCCTTGAGACTTTTGACCTGATGGATCTCGCTACTCTGGGCCAACCTCGTCCCCAGTGCTTACTTTATTTCCAACCTAGTTTCCAATAGTAAACCCTGGATAGGAAACTTCCTTCCTGCATCCTGATTCGATACGGCAATTGGCTAGAAATGGATTTTTGTCGTGTACTTGGTGTTGTTATTCACAACGTGCAGTACGTGTTTTCGCGATTATTCGTCCACGCCTTCTCGAAAATACTCATTTCCTTCCCAATTTGTTCATGTTAATATGAAATGTGATACTACATGTTGTCTCGGTAAGATCGTAACAATTTAATTAAATAAATCGTGTTTTTCGTAACTCACGCCATGCTCGCGCTGCGACGAATTGACTCTGCTTTTACCCCAGACACCGCATACAAAAACAAACGCAAATGTAACGCACAAGCAGGCACCAGACTATTCCTCATTTGCATACGTGTTCAAAAATCTTGCACATGCAAATGATCCAATACCAGGGTGAGAGAGCAGGTAGTGATGGGCGCGTACTGCTTGACACCCTGGGGTCGAGGTTGACTCTGGGCAGGCTTGTCGCTTAGACATATGTTGCTGCGTTTGGCAGGGTTTCTAGCCAAAATACCCTGGAGGGTTAGGGTTTTAAGGAAGGTTACAAATTTTCCATCAAGTTGTTTTAGATACTGTGAAGCTATAAAATGTAACTAATCAAAAAATTAACTAAAGGGTATCGCACTGTTAGATCAGTCCTTCTGATTTGAAAATCACAGGCGTGTGGAAAAAGGCACACCTGGATTTTTCTAGGCGTGTGATTTTTCTAGGCGTGTGATTCAGTGGTCCAAACCGGGACTGAACAATCTAATATTTTTTTTTTTTTTAATATTCACTTTGGTTAACAGTAAAGCCATTTCAAGAGCTCACAGAAGTATAGTTATGCTGTAAATGTATGTCGAAGTGTGCGGTGCAGAGGGATTCAGGCGTGCGATAATTCACACTTCTTTTAGGTGTGCGATGGTGTGGGGGTGTGAGCGCACCTCAAATCAGGACTGTTAGATTTACAGCACTGGTAGATTTACTGGATGCAAAAACACACTGTGAAAATGAATCTCCAAATTGCATCTGAAAGTTGATTAATTTTATTTAGTGGCCTGTTTGTTTACCAAAAATGAAAACATTCTTGAGAAACTGACTGGTATCCTACCTTGCTTTGTGTGTATTAGGTGTTACCATGAGTGCATCCACGGCCGCTGCAGTGGGGCGCCAGACTACACGTGCATCTGCGACGTCGGGTGGAATGGGGAAAACTGCAGCACGGACTGCGAGTGTAATTTCCACAGCACCTGCGAAACGGGGATTGGCATCTGCGACGAATGCCAACGTAAGAATGTTATTCTATTTCAATTCTCATTTGGCATGTTACATGCAGTCTCCATCCTATGTGCTTTTCGACAAATCCAATTGTTTTCTCCCAATGAATTCGAAACTTGGAGTATTTTATTTAAAAGCTGATTTTCTGTCTTCTAGTAGACTGGTGGACTGAGTAGACTGGTTTCTGGTCGCCATGTAATTCCATGAATACCAAAAGGGGGCAGGAACCAGTCTACCCTGTGAGAACTAAATCATATTTAGCCACATGGAGTTTAAAAACATGTGGTTTTTGTCATTTATGTCTCAATCAGAAGTGAATAACAGAAAAATTGATAGAAAAATAGCAATTTAAAATGAAATCTACTTTTTGGGATGAATCTCTACAAAAGCATGGGCAGTAGATCTTTAATCCTCCTATGTAAAAATACATTCTGTGCCAAGTTGTCCTTTCAGTCAAAATCAATCAAGTGACTGTTTTCAACAGTTAAGAGCTCCCAGCCTACATAAAGCAGGATTGACTGGCTGTGACTGTCTATGTATTAGCTTTGCTTTGATTATGGGTGTTTGATAAGCAGCGCTGTGCCCACAACTTGCCTGCTTTGTCTGTTCATGGTCTGTTGACTAAATTTGACTAGTCACAGTGCTTGCTTGACATATGATCTGACTGTTGGTGACTAGCTAGCCACATAAATGTGGCCAATTTACCGGACTGCCTCCGTAAATCAAGGCCACACTTCCACCATGTACAAAAACACGTCGAACTTTGTCAAATTTTGATTCTCATATTTAGGCTTAGTTTGTAGTTTATTTTTGATTGAGAAGCATACTCACCCTCTTTATAGGCTAATCAGAAAGTGCTGCCTCTTTCAGATATCTAATTTTCGTGAAATTTCATGTTGAAAATTTGATACGCAAACATGTGCAAACGAATATGGAAATTTCACGAAAAACAGACATCTGAAAAAGGCAGCACTTTCTGATTAGCCTATAAAGAGGGTGAGTATGCTTCTAAAGCAAAAATAAACTACAAACTAAGCCTAAATGTGAAAATCAAAATTTGACAAAGTTCGACATGTTTTTTCGACATTTAGGCCTAGTTTGTAGTTTATTTTTCACATTTACTCACCCTCTTTATAGGCTAATCAGAAAGTGCTGCCTCTTTCAGATATCTATTTTCGTGAAATTTTTATGTTGAATATTTGATACGCAAACATGTGCAAACGATATTGAAATTTCACGAAAAATAGACATCTGAAAAAGGCAGCACTTTCTGATTAGCCTATAAAGAGGGTGAGTATGCTTCTAAAGCAAAAATAAACTACAAACTAAGCCTAATTGTGAAAATCAAAATTTGACAAAGTTCGACATGTTTTTGTACATGGTGGAAGTGTGGCCTTTATTTACGGCGGTAGTCCAGTAAATTGGCCACATTTATGGGGCTAGTGACTAGCCTGTGTTAAAAGTATAGCAGGGGAAGTGGATGGAAATTTGGACTGTCTGTGACTGTTTAATATTAGGAGGGTTAGAGACAACACCAAAACTCTTTGCAGCGACTGAGAAGCTTTGGTTTGGACGTATTGCCTGATTTTTGTCTCTTACTTTTCTATTTCAGACTGGACCATGGGCCAGTTCTGCGAGCTGTGCCGACCTGGTAGCTACGGCAACGCCACCGACCAATCCCAGGGCTGCCGGGAGTGCCAGTGCAACGGGCACGGCGACGCGACCCTGGGCAGCTGTCACAACGAAACGGGGATCTGCTACTGCACCGAGAACACGAAGGGCGACCACTGCGAGGAATGCGTGACGGGATTCTATCATGACCCAAGGTAAGGCTCAGCTTCCATCACCAGCCGGTTGCTTAACCCTTTCATTACCACATTGTTTATTGACTTGGTTCTCCCCAGGACCAAATTGTTTGCTCAGTCATGCGGAAATCACTAGAGCATGAACAAAATGACCACAAGTCCAAAACTCACTTTTTTCAACCCAGATTTTCACTGCCAAGGAGTGATTTAAATAATAGGTGTTGTGTGTAAAGTTTGTTCCTTGAACCTTACTCTGTAAAAATGAAGTCCATATGTGTAAATATAAGAAAGTTATGCCTGTTTGTTCATCTGGTTCCATTTATCAAACTGCAAGCTATTTCACCACATGACCAAATGGCACTCCATACCTCAATTTGTGCGTGGATACTTCTGAAGCACTTTTCTCATTTTTTTGTAATGTCAACACTATGAATAAACTACACCATTAGAACGATCCGAAAACACTCTTTCAGCTGGTATTTGGTTGATGTATGGACGGCCAAACATATCAACATGCCGCCTTTCTGAAAAGTAGTGAATACATCTGTGTTGAGGGTGTTCTGTGTGTGGTTTCCTGGTCGACTAAAGTCGCCCATGGGAACCAGCAGGGGGGTACTTCTTGTCGACTAAGTCGCCCATGGTAAGGAATGGGTTAACCGGCCAGCCACTTTACGGCCGGTATGATCCTTGGCGGGCACTTTTGCCCCTTGGCCGGTACAGAGCTGGTCTTGATCTAGTATCTCGTTGACAATCATTATTTGACAATAACGTAAAAGGTACATTTTCCAAAGTCTAATATCTTGAGAACAACAAATTTGATTGAACTGAAACTTTGTAGGTTTATAAACTCTAACATGTAAAAGTGCACATTGAAGTAATGATAATGATTTGTTGCAGAATTTTTACAGAAATACTTAGCATGGAAAATATTTGCATATCAAAAACAATCAGTCATGTTCTCAAGTCAGAATCATCATGTCTCATTTGATATCAACTTGAAAGGTACATTTTCCAAAGTCCAATATCTTGAGAACACCAAATTTGATTGAACTGAAACTTGGTAGGTTTCTAAACTCTAAAATGTAAATGTGCACATTGAAATAATGATGTAGTGATATTTTGCAGATTTTTGACATTTTAAATTCTAGTAGGTATCTCATTCAAAAGTGAATAACGTTTTTATTGCTGAAAAAAAATTAGCAAGAAATGTACTTTTCTAGGTGAATCTTTAACTAAGACATTTTGTGGGTTTTGCCTGACAGATTTGCCCAGCACTGCTCCCGCGAGTGCAGCGGCCGGATGCTGCTGACCAACGTGGAATCCGCAGCCTTGGGCTCAGGCCAGGGGGATGGAGTGACCCTCTCCGAGGCCTACTGCCTGTGGGTGCTGACCGCTGGCGACAACTTGACCCACACGGCGGCCATGACTGACCCACCAACTATCAGCTTGACCGTTGAAGGCATTGAGGCGCTCTGTGGGGTGAGTTAGCCCTGATTCACAGTGATGATAGAGCAAGTTTGAGTAGGAACTACTAGCTCTGATCACAAGTGCTGATTATTCAACAAAAGACTTCCCTATAACACAAATTTCATCACTACATACCATCAAGACTTTTTTTAAATTGATGGATTTTGTTTAAATTTCCTATTTTTCCTATGACTCTTTGCAGAGAGACTACATGTACGTATACGATGGAATACCATCCTATTTGTCCTCGTCGCACCCTGAGCTGGCCGGGGCAGACCTGGGGGCCTTCTGTGGTCAAGATCCCCTGGAACGTGTCACAGCCGTGGCCCACTCCGGTAAGTTCCAGAATTCAAACTTTTCAGGGGCATTTTTTTCCTGCAAATGCCAGAATTTAGTGTTTTGTATTGTTGACTTACAGTATTTCAAAGGTCACCGAAACCATTACAGTGTCTTAAAGTTGAGGAAATAATGTTGAAAAAATGTTTACATCTGACACAACGCCTTGCCTATTAGCATTTAGATACAACAGTCAAAATTTCCTGTAACAAGAAAGTTAAGGCCCTGTCAAACTGTCTGCAATCTTATATGCGCTTTCACTGCCTCCTTGAAAAATAGCTGGGGCGCAAAAACAACTACTAGATCGCAGCGACAACTACATAGGTCGCCAGATGGGCGCCAGAGGGTCTTAATGGTCTCCGATGAGCGCCAAGGTCTTTGAACATGCTCAAAACAATCGCAACACCTCTGCGCTCTGGCCAGGGTGCCGTAATGAAGCACAGTGACAGCGCAGCGGCAGCGACTAGATCGAGTAATTGAGCTTGACTGGGGCGCATAGAGAGCGAGTTGAGCGCATCGTAAGCGTGGGAAGAGCACAATATGAGCGTAGCTTGAGCTTCTTTGAGACAGAAAGTTGTCATTTTCTTGCGAACTCACTGCGATTGTTAAATTTATGAAATATTTTTGGTTGCCGTAAGGTCTCCTATGAGATCGCATGTAATGTGACAGGCCCTTTAGATATAAGATTTTAGGCTTTGCATGTTAGAGTATCAGTATCGTTTGGGATTGCGGTAACATGCATGTGGTCATAACTACCACACACCATGTGGTCATAACTACCACACACCATGTGGTAATAACTACCACACACCATGTGGTAATAACTACCACACACCATGTGGTAATAACTACCACACACCTTGTGGTAATAACTACCACACACCATGTGGTAATAACTACCACACACCTTGTGGTAATAACTACCACACACCTTGTGGTAATAACTACCACACACCATGTAATAACTACCACACACCTTGTGGTAATAACTACCACACACCATGTGGTAATAATAGCTGCAGTCTCCTGACGATGAGTAGAGCAGGCTAGTCGAAAAATTGAGACAAAAGACAAGTTCTCTTAGAACTAAGCAGGACTGTTCTGATCAGAACCTAAAACTACTTAGCGAAAGTTGATAACAAGCAGGACAATTTCTTATCAAAATTAAAAAACCACTTAGCGAAAGTTGATAATATGCAGGTCAAGTTCTTATCAGAACTAAAAATCTACTGAGCAACAATAGTTATTACCACATGGTGTTAGCGCAAACCGAAACAATAAGAACGTTAGACTGGGTCACGTATAATGCATGCAATATGACAAATTATTTACAAGCTTCTCTTGTAACATAAAGTAAGAGTGTTACAACATTACCAGGTGTACGCTAGCAATGCCTTCAAGAATCCAACCGAACAGCCTTTGCAACTGTAGTGGGAGTACTGTTGCTGGAAATGTATTTCTTACACTGAAACTTTGAATTCAGGCATCATGACCGTCGTCTACCAGGCCAACCACACCGGCAGCACGGACTCCCCAGGCTTCGTGGCCAGCTACAGCGTCAACCGCTGCCCCGGCGGTTGCCACGGCAACCGGGAGTGCATCCTGGGAACCTGTCGCTGCATCAGCGGCTACCGGGGACCGAACTGCGAGGAGGAGGCTTGTCCGGGTAACTGCAGTCAGGCGGACGGTCAAGGGATCTGTGACGAGGTAGGAATATGTGTTCCGGCCGTATAATTGTAGTTGGTATTTTATCCTTGTTAATACCTTAAGAGCCTTCAAAGCAGCCCTTAACCCTAGCCGCTCCTAAAGCTACAAAATACTACTGAGTAGCAACCTGTAGTATGCATTTCTTTCCATACAAGTGTGCACAACACATGTGGTATTCAGTGGTATTTGGTCATTGACCTCCCAAAGACCCTTTAGGGGGTTAGGGTTAGGAGCCTTCAAATCAGCCCTCAAGAGCCTTTAAATCAGACCTTAGGCCAAAAAAAAAATTGTTCTGCTTCCGATTACATGGCATTTGAAAACGGGGTAGGTAGGTAGGGAAGTATTTTTTTTGCCAATTTTTTTTGTGTATGTTCATATGGAGGCGTCTGCGTGTAGTCAAGGATAAAAGGTAGAAATTAATGGTTTTGGGCGTTATTTTTCTTCTCATTTTTCCCATAAAAAAATTAAGGTAGGGGCTGTCAAAATAGGGTAGGTAGGGAAAGCGGAAGCAGAACTATTATTTTTTTTGGCCTTAAGACATATCTACTTACAGAAATCTCCTTGTGGCTTTGTCTTTTCCTCATTGGAACTTTGTGTAAAATGTACTATTTAAGATTTTTTGTCTGTAAGTGTGAATGGCAGCACATACTGAAAACTCTTGTTATGACATGTTTCCATTCGTGTACACTGAAATGACTAGTTGTGTAGTAGAATCTGTGTATATGAACTACAAGTTTCTCAACCAAACCTTTTTCAAAATTGAAAAATACTCACATTCAATGAGACAATTCTCAAGTCTGTCAATTATGAATGTGGATTTTGTGACAAATACAAGACTTTATCATCAATTCTTCAATTTCTGATGTGCAAAATGAAGAGGTTGTCCTCTGTCTTCATATTGCCAAAACCACTTGTTTTGCAAATTGTGGGTGCATGTTGCCAAGACATAGTCTCTTTTTTTCCCAAAAATTAAACTGTAATTATAAAAGGGAAATGATCTATATTGTTACTATATTTAAAATAATACCTACTTTCATCAACTACCCAGAAGAGTTTGTTTTTTAAAGCTATAGTCCATCATTTGTAATTAGTGCATTTTGTTCGTTTGAAGCAACAAAAGTGTTCAAATCTAATGAAGGATACTGAGCAACTAACCTGATGAAGTTTCAGCCAAGCTTCAGCTGTACATTCCGAGAAAAGCAGCATTCTAAGATCTCAATTTCAAATCAAAAGTTACTGAATCATGTTGAATTGTTTAGAATTGCAGCTATACGCGGCATCGCGCACTGATCTGACGAATTATAACAACCGCGCGCGCGTGTGCGTCGTTCCAATACTTGTGCGCGCTGCGCTGAATAACAAAACGAACTACTAATTTAAATTTTCCTACGGTGCTTCTTAAGAATCACCGTTGGAAATGCCTTCTTTCGTTGATTACTTCAAAATGACAGCTTCCCAGAAAGAATAATTTCACAGTGAGTTTAGTTCCCTTAGTATCTTTCAACCAAGTTTGTTTTTCAACAGTAATTACACCAGTTACTTTTCGGATGGCTGCAAATGATGGACTATAGCTTTAACAGAACATTTCACAAAGTTTACATTGTATTGAACTGATTTTCTGATTTGAAGGCCATGGGCGTGTGCAACTGCAGCGCAGGTTTTGGCGGCGAGGCCTGCCAATTCCCCACCTCCCCTCTGGCTGGGCTCAAGCAAGGCATTTGGACCCTCCTGGCGGACGAGGCTCGGCTGGATCCTGACGCCAGTTCCACGGTCGGGGCCGTGCCCTGCGGCCGGATGGGCCACACACTTGTGGCCAGCGAGGCCAATGTGCTGTGGTTGTTTGGCGGCTACTCCCACACCCACGGGCACCTAAATGATGTTTGGAGGTAAGTTTAAATAAATCACCCTTGTACAAATTTCAAAAGATTTGATTTGGATGGCACTAGCAGATGGAAGGGGTTTTAACAAAACCAGTTTTCCACAGCACAATGGTTATAGTGTGCAACTCACGGGTACAAGAAGGCCTAAAGACTATAGACTATTGTAAGGATTTGAACTATAAAATTGACTGTACTAACCCTTGCTTAGTTAATTTCACTTGCCCACCATGCATCCTAAGAAGTAAATTATAACTATCCTGGAGCAGTTTTTAGTTAGGTATAAGCTTGGCTAGTAATTAACTTGAATGCTGATAGTCAATTTGTATTTTGTATTATCTGTGTAGCTATGACCTCGCTACAAAGAAGTGGAAGCAACACTTTTCGGGCAGCTCTGCCCACCCAGCTCCCAGACGCTACCATGCGGCGACATTCTCCTCATCCTACGTGATGATTTCTGGAGGAATGAATGATACGACAGTCATGCAGGACGTGTGGTACTTTCACACTGTCAGCGAGAACTGGTCCCAGGTAAACAGCAATGCTTTTCATTCATCGAGATATATGTTCCCTGTTAGCTGGAAATGGTGGCAGCAGTGGGATTTGGTGGCAGCGGTGGGATTCGGTGACGGCGATGAGATATGGTGACAGTCATCGAATTTAGTGGCAGTGTTGGGATATAGTAACAGCATTGGAATATAGTGGCAGGGGTGGGATTTGGTAGTAGTTGTGGGATTAATGGCATTTTCTCTGCCGAGGGAAATATTTACAAGAAATGGAAAGATTTTCTTAACTGTTTTTCTTGCAGATTCCAGCCGTTTTTCCTGTAGCACTGGCAGGCCATTCCTTTGTTGTGGTCAAGGATGAAACCTTGGTGACGATTGGCGGCTACTCGCCGACCAACGGTCTCCAAGACAAGGTGCTGGAATTCAGCGTTGCCGACAATGCGTGGCTGGCTGTTCAAACAACTGGACCCCCTCCCACTGGTATGTGCATGATAACCTTCACTGGTACCATTATGTTTATCCAAGTTTCTGGTGACCTCTGATTTCCACGTTACAAAACCCATGGAATTTACATGCATTAATCTTTTTGCAACTTAGCAGAGCCATGCACTAAGGCCCAGATTATACAAGTTGCATGATTTGAATTTTTTTTTCTGCCAGGTCTGTTTGGCCACAGCACGGTCTGGCACTCCACCACCAAGGCCCTGTATGTCTATGGCGGTTACCTCTTTCACCTGGACAGCGTCTTTGTCTCGGACAGACTGTACTCTCTGGACTACAGAAACTCGGTCAGAAGATGGAATCTTCTGCTTGCCGAGCCCGGGAACCAGGTAAGAGCGACTTGCTGCATTGTGGGTGGGGCTTATCTTCATTGGCAGAGGGGGGGGGGGGGAACTGCATTAGACTGGACACCTGAGCTCATACATATGTACTCTTTCCCAAGGCTTCCTTAAATGCATTAACAACCCTCTTTTTTGAAAAGCTTCAGATACATTAAGTTAAATGTTACCACTATTAATACCTGAACAAATCTTGTATTGGAATCCTAATATCCAGAAATCTGGCACTTAATTGGGGTACCAAAATGTGGTGCACTTATAACAAATCCCAGAAATTCCTATTAAAGTCAACATACAGAACTTTATTTGGGTGACAAATCTTGATAAAACAGCCTTACCTTCACTCACAAATCAAAGTGCATGTTTGTTGGAATTTGTTTCATCACTTTTTTTATTGCACATTTCAACAGAAAAGTAGACAATAGCATCGATGACATTTTCTCTTGCAAACAATTAGGTAAACTCAGAATTTGTGCTGAGGGAAATTTAGAACCTATATGTGATGCATTCTGGCAAAAATGAGACAGAAAAGGGCACAGGCCGTAGTAGAGAAAAATGGGGGAAAAACAAATGGGGGTGATTTTTTGGGGGATTTTCAGCTTTATTGATAGTGATAATCATTGAAATGCCTACTTCACATGTTTTAAAGAAAGAGTATAAAAATTGTGGAATTAAAATTATTTAAGGGAATGTAATTGGCATCTTTCATTTTCACAAATACAAACTTGAAACTTTGTTGTCCCTTTTCTCAATATAGTTTCTGTACATGTCGATGAATGCAAACTTGAACAGCCATAACTTGTCAACAGAATGTCCTATAAGCCTTTTCGGAGTTCCAACTGCGCATTCGTAATCTGTGACAACGCGCATTGTTTGTCTCAAATGGCCTTTGACAACATCGTGCCACTGACTTTACAAAAAGGCTGTTTTTGCATTGTGGGTACTGTCAAAGGGCATTTGAGACAAACAATGTGCGTTGTCACAGGTTACGAATGCGCGCAGTTGGAACTCCGAAAAGGCTTATTCGAGTGCAACAAACAGTATTGCAAGGAGAAAGTATTTCTCTTTCCTAATCCCAGCAAACCCTGAATTTGATCTCTGCCCAGTTCTGTCTCATTTTGCCAGAACGCCTCGCATATTTTGAAAAGTTCTGGGGAAGCTCTGAGAGAGTTCAGGAATTGCCTGAGAGAAATTCGCCTCGCATATTTTGAAAAGTCCGGGGAAGTTCCGAGAGAGTCCTGGAATTGCCTGAGAGAAATTTTATGGGGTGCTGTGGTCCAATGGTTACGGTGTTTGAATCGTGTGCCGTGGTACATGGGTTTCGAATCCTGACCGTGGGAACATGGTGCTTGTGCTCTTGAGCAAGGCACTTGACCATTATTGCTTCGTCCTTCGGATGGGACGCAAAGCCGTAGGTCCCGTGTGTTGTGTAATGCACGTTAATGAACCCGGTTACACTTATTGCTAAGAGAAGGGGTTTGCCCCGGTGTTTCTGGCAGTGGCTGCAGTATGCGCCGCTGCACCTTGTAAATCCTTATAAAGGTGCTACATAATGGGTCTCATAGTTCTCATTATAAACTTGAGGGCCTCCATGGAAAGCAGTGCACTGATTGAAGTTTATCCTTAACCCTAACCCCCTAGGCCCTTGTTGCTTACAACCATCCTCAATCCTCCAAAATCCTCCATAATTTTCCAAAATTTTGCAACTCCGCCTAAATTTTTCAAAATTGTCAGACAGTCCTGCCTCAAAATGCATTCATCCTCAATCCTCCAAAATCCTCCTCATCCCAAAACTTTGCACTCGTGTTTAAATGAAGGTTAACCAACGCCAAATCCTTCAAAATCATCAGACAGTCCTGCCTCAAAATGCATTCATCCTCAATCCTCCAAAATCCTCTTGTGCTTCAATCACCATTCATCCTCAATCCTCCAAAATCCTCATGTGCTTCAATCACCATTCATCCTCAATCCTCCAGAATCCTCATTTGATTCAATCACCATTCGTCCTCAATCCTCTAGAATCCTCCAAAACCGCCAGGAGGAATTTGGAGGAGTGAGGTGGGTTAGGGTTAAAAGATGACGTTAAAAAAAAAAATCAGCTTCAATTATTTAAAAATTCTTTTTCCGACCCTTCCAGCCACTTCCCCATATCTTCCACGCCGCTGTCACCACGTCCAATTACATGGTAGTCATCGGGGGCGGGACCCCAACCCAGAACATCTCCAACACGCTGATGGCGTACCACTACGACTGCAACCAGTGGGTGGATCTTAACGGTGAGTCTTTCTGTCATCGTAAGTCTTAAAGGGAAAATACAACATTTGCAAATATCAAAAAATAAAACTACCAAATCATTTTGAAATACCTTGCTGGACTGTTAGTGAATGACAGTGTAAAGCATCCTGTAAAATCATGGCACCTGGTATACTGTCATTTTCAAGAAAAGTGGTATTTTTGTATCAATTTCCAACGCTGATCGGCCGATGAGCGTTGGAAAAAACTGGCTTTTTTCAAATACTGGCCCCAATTGACAATCGCACTTGTTTGCAATCGATTACAAACCTATGAACGGGTACGAGCCAGCTAGACTGGTTCCCTGACTTTACAATTCCCCAATGTATGTAAACTGCTCTGTTTCTTCGTATATGGAGTCAGGGAACCAGACTACAGGAAAATGATTGTTTTTCTTGGTTTTTATAGCATTTTCGAACCCAAAACCTCAAAAAAGTCAGTGTAACTATATTTGCTATATATTTCCAACCCCCCAATTCCATCCATTTCTGAAAATTACAGCAAAAGCAAATGATGTATATTCCCTTTAAGCAAAGATGTTTAAAACCCATTACCACCTGTATTACATTGTGTTGTGACATATTACATTGTATTTCGTTGTCTGCCAAGGAAAAGGAACCTTAACAGCAGAGGCACGCAAAAATCACTGCCTGATATAAGCGAGTTTAATGGCCTTTGTGCTCCCATGACGAAAACGGCCCTCATAACCCCTTAAGGACGGGGTGTAATGGGGACATTCCTCCATACATACAGCAAGTGACCCACATGACTGCACAGCCTTTGTGTGGTAGCGGGACTGCACAAAAGCAGCAGCTGTAGAACTACCCACTAGCAGTGTGCCACGGCATACCACAGCTGGGTCATTCTATAAATTTGGGGTCCAAAGTGTGACATTTTTCCCGTCCCTGTTACCTTGGTACTTTGTAATTTGCCATTCAAGCATCATTAAAAGTGACTTCAAATGATTGCTTATTTGTTGGGTAGGTAGTTTGCTATTACTCTTGGAGGATGACTGCATTAAGGAGTGCATCAGAATTATACAATCATAGATGTCAGATGTAACAGGGACGGGAAAAAAAGTGGACCCCAAATTTATAGAATGACCCACCTGGCAACTGCATTCCAGTGAGGATTAGCGGCCGCGGCCATGACCGCTTCCCGTACGCGAGGGGTTAAGAAAGTGGCTAGTTTCACACAACATTTTGGACCTCAGTGGGAAGTCCTTAAGTAAACAAAGCTCCCTTCCCTGCTTCACCACTGAGATAATCACCCACTCTCAAATTTGTATCCTTGTGGAGACATTTCTTTGTTATCGTGTAGTAAAGTTTTCAATTTTGAAAGTGAAGTTTCGAAATGCTCTTATTTTAACCAGAATTAATTTCCTTGGCTGAAATTCGGACTTAATATCCCTTTTCTAAAACTCTTCCATTTGCGACACATCAACCCACCTTGGAAATTCCTAGTTTTTGAGTAAAATCCATATATCTATTTCGTGAAAACCTTGTGGAGACCTATTCATCTATAGAAATTGCCTTGTGGAGACCTTTACAATGTTTTGTTCCCTATTGTGTGCGTGTCTCCACAAGGATACAAATTTGAGCACACTTCAAGGTTAAATGAAGTACCACCTGTTAGCCACACTGCTTTCTGGAACTACAAGTTTGCTGTCTAGAGACTGCACCAAAATACGCCACAGTAAAAGATCGTCCTCTGCCATTTATTCACCGAATTTCACAGTCCAAAATATGGAAATGTTTATGACAATGCTTTTGTCGGCCGACAGATTAAATGTGTGACCAGCTCTACAAAATAGGGTATTAAGTCGCCCTTAGCATTATTGTGTAATGGCCTGCTCAACATTGAGAGGGTGAAATTTTGTCAAAATGTAATTTTCATTTTATGTCATGAATGTCATCTTTAATACCTACAGTTTCAGGTTTCTTTCACAGAAATGTTGATTTTGATGAACAAAGTGGAAAAAACAACCATTTTGTGTGCATCACTCTAATGTTCTACAAGAAAGCCAGTTATTTCAAAGCCTGTTTTCTCAGTTGTGTAATTTGAACTCCAAGGAAGTAATTAATATGCAAATACGTCATATGTCCAGAACGGGAGGGGCTATGGAGCTCTGCTATATACCAAATGAAAGCTTACGTTGTGGGCTTTCCAACCATGTAAATAACTCCATTTCACTTTTTTGCAACATAATACCTTTTTTTGTGGAGCCGGTCACATTTAGTAATGATTATGCTTGAAATATCTCAGGCAGTGTGACCTTCGCTCTTTTATGGAACCAATTATAGGATAACTGCTGATAAATGTCTTAAAGGGCAGGCTTCCCAAAATGGTGTGTCCCAACCCGAGTGGCCTCTATTGTTGGTCGGGTTGGTCTTAAGAGGAGTGTTCACGTCATGCCATTTTTAAACAGAAAATCAATTCAATTCAATTCAATTCATTTATTGTCCATTTAAAAGATAAAAATGGAAAATTTACATGTCTAAATCACATAAGTCTGTAATTTTGACTGATGATATATGTCAGTAATTTGAAGAATCTGCATTTTGTGGTCAAAATATTACTTTATTTAAAAGTTATTTACATTTTTATGCTGATAACCTTTTGTCGGAAAATCATCGTGCCTTACATGTGTGCTTAAAGATATAGTCCATCATTTGTAATTTGTGCATGTTGTCATGGTTGTTCATTTAAAGCAACAAAGTGTTCAAAATCTAATGAAGGATACTGAATAACTAACCTGATGAAGTTCCAGCTCAGCTTCAGCTGTATATTCTATGAAAAACAGCATTCTGGGATCTCAATTTCAAATCAAAAGTTGCTGAATCATGTTTTGCATTGTTTTGAATTGCAACTATATGCGATGTCACACACTGATCCGACGAATTATAGCAACCGCACGCACGTGTACGTCGTGCCAATGCTTGCGTGCGCTTTGCCAAATAACAAAACGAACTACTAATTTAAATTTCCTTCGGTGCGTCTTAAGACGCACTGTTGGAAAGGCATTCTTTCGTTGATTACTTCAAAATGACAGCTTGCCAGAAAGAATAATTTCACAGGGAGTTTAGTCCCCTTACTAGCTTTCAACCAAGTATGTTTGTCAACAATAATTACGCCAGTTACTTTCGGATGGCTGCAAATGATGGACTATAGCTTTAAGCAGAATGTTAATTCCTAACTACCATTTTCCCACTTCCATGAATGAACGAAAACTTTCAGTAAATTGATTAAAAGCTTTTTCACTATCTGATCAGATTTTGTAGTTGGAAGTCCCCCGTCACCATCTGCGTCTCTGTCTGCTGCCATCGTCACGGGCAACGCCATCTACACGTTCGGCGGGAACGACGGGACCTCGCTGGGCGCCCTCTACCAGCTCAATCTGCCGACGGACCTGTGCGCATTGCAGACCACGACCGACGGTTGCCTGGGCATGCCCAGCTGCGCGGCTTGTGTGGAGACTAACGACACCCAGAACCTGTTGTTCTGCAAGGCCAGCATGGATGTGTATCAAGCGAGGTAGGGTCTCAGACTTGGATACTTGCTCTAACAAAATGAGGAATAATTTGTGAGGAATATAGTCTGGTTCCCTAAAAGTATCTCTTGCAAATATCAATAAAGAGAGAAATATTGCTGTTCAATATTTACAACCTATGCAGTTAAAATGCTTGACAGTTGCTTTCATGGAGACACTGGTGATTTTGTGTACTTTCTTTGTGGTAAAACATGCGTGAATTTCTTGATGATCGTGAGTTCAATCACCAGCGTCCATACCCGTGGCCAAGTTCGGGCAAGGACCATTAGTCGACTAGTGGTTGATTTGTGACGTACCTTACGCCTGCGCACTAATAGCAAAGTGCGAACGTCTCTAGTCGAACGCTGGTCAAAATGTCATTGCAAAACGTCTGGATCCTGGCTCCCTGCTGTACGTTATGAACGCGCGCGGCTATGGTTACCAGCGAAGCAACCAACCCCAGTAGGTTGGTTCCAAATAGTCAACTAGCGTAGTCAACCATCGTCGACTAGACAGAGTTCGGGCAAGCGTTAGTCGACCAATGGTTAACTATAGTCCTTGCGCGAACTTGCCCCGAATTGAACAACGATTCAAAAATAAACAACCGTGATGCGCGCACGCAGAGGCAATCCAATCAAAGGCTTGAAATGGGCGCTATTTACCAGTCCCCATATCTTTAAAGGTATAGTCCATCATTTGTAATTTGTGCATTTTGTTTGTTGGAAGCAACAAACGTACTCAAAATCTGAAGAAGGGTGCTGAACAACTAACCTGATGAAGTTTCGGCTCAGCTTCAGCTGTATATTTCGAGAAAAACAGTATTCTAGGATCTCGATTTCAAATCAAAAGTTGCTGAATCATGTTTAGAATTGGGCCTGAATTCAGCGTCCGAGACACGTTCTTACTGAGCTGAATGCAGCTACGCGATGTTGCACACTGATCCGGCGAATTATAGAGGGTGCGTGTGCGTCTTATCAACGCCTGCGCGCGCTTCGCTGAATAAAAAGACGAACTGCTAACGGAAATTTCCAACGGTGCGTCTTAAGAAGCACCGTTGGAAAGGTCTTCTTTCGTTGATTTCTTCAAAATGACAGCATGCCAGAAAGAATCATTTCACAGGGAGTTTAGTCCCCTTACTATCTTTCAACCAAGTATGTTTTTCAACAACAATTACGTCAGTCACTTTTTGGATAGCTGCAAATGATGGACTACAGCTTTAACAGTCTATGAGGAATAATGCTCAAAAAAGTCTGACGTGTGCAGTTTTACGTGACGGGTCAAATTGGAGCAGGTAGTGTGGCCCAAATGCTCTGTGGCAATTCGACAGCCATCCCAACATTAAAAATAACTCAAGTGACTGTTTTTTAACAGTTGAGTGCTCCCTGCCTTCATAACTTAGGATTGACTGGCTGTAACCGTTTTACGTAACATGATACAGATGTACTTTGACTGTAGGAAATTGATAAGCTCGCTGTATCTACCAATACAAGTCACCTGCTTTTGTCTAATGATGAAATTTGACGGACACAGTGCCTACAAGACATGTCAAGCAATCAAGCTACATGATTCGTTTGTCGACCCTGGTCAAAAAAAAAATTTATGACAGATTTCAAAAGAGCACAATCTCAGCATTACTGCTGCAAAAACTGCATGCTGATACCATCTTTAGTTCGAAAATTATGGAAGTCTGAACACCAAGAGATGTGATGAAGTGATGTGATGAAGTGGCCCTATTTTGGCCTGTTTCTCCACTTAAAAATTCCCGACAAACGACTCATTTAGCTTGATCGCATCACATATTTTGTTGACTAGCCCGTGTATAAAGGCATGGCAGGGGAACAGGATCGATATCCGGACTGTCTATCAGCAGAAGGGAAAAGTCTTAATAAAAAAATTAAAAATAAAATGAAAAACACGTAAAGCAACAAGCTTTCTCAGTGCACAGCTTTTTCAGGATTAAACATTGATCTTATTCTTTCGCGAACAACTTTTTTCTTGTTTACACAAATGGTGTTAATGTTTATCTGTAGTTGTGACGGCATCTACTCTTTGGAGCAAGGCATCACCTGCAACGACGCGAGGGTGGAATATAGGAACTGCGGGGCTGCCAAATCCTGCAGTGAGTGTGTCATGACCCAGCCTGCACACTACACAGCTGAACAGGTGAATTTCCAATTATCAAAACTATTCCCCGATGGGGTTGAAACTTGGTATGTACGTAGACAGGGATGTGTTATACAAGGATGAATATAGAAGCTGCCGGGTTGCCCAATCCTGCAGTGTGTGTGTCATGACCCAGCCAGCCCACTACACAGCTGAACAGGTGAATATCCAATTATCAAAAATATTTTCCAATTCCAATTGGGTTAAAACTTGGTATGTACGTAGACAAGGATGTGTTATGCAAGGGTGAATATAGGAACTAGAGGGCTGCTAAATCCTGCAGTGAGTGTGTTATGACCCAGCCACCCCACTACACAGCTGAACAGGTGAATTTCCAATTATCAAAACTATTCTATACAAGTCCGATTGGGTTGAAACTTGGTATGTACGTAGACAGGAATGTGTTATACAGGGGTGAATATAGGAACTGCCGGGCTGCCAAATCCTGCAGTGAGTTTGTCATGACCCAGCTGGCACACTACACAGTTGAATGGGTGACTTTCCAATTATCAAAAATATTCTATAAGTCCGATTGGATTGAAACTTGGTATGTGCGTAGACGGGGATGTGTTATACAAAGATGGAATATAGGAGCTGCCAGGCTGACAAATCCTGCAGTGTGTGTGTTAGGACCCAGCTGGCACACTACACAGCTGAATGGGTGACTTTCCAGTTATCAAAACTAATCTATAAATCTGATTGGGTTGAAACTTGGTATGTACGTAGACAAGGATGTGTTATACAAAGGTGGAATATAGGAACTGCCGGGCTGCCCAATCCTGCAGTGAGTGTGTCATGACCCAGCTGGCACACTACACAGCTGAACAGGTGAATTTCCAATTATCAAAACTATTCTACAAGTCCGATTGGGTTGAAACTTGGTATGTACGTAGACAGGAATGTGTTATACAGGGGTGAATATAGGAACTGCAGGGCTGCCAAATCCTGCATTGAGTGTGTCGTGACCCAGCCAGCACACTACACAGCTCAAAATTTGGGCTTCAGCCAGCTGAGTGCTTCTGAATTACCACGATGTTACTTACGTAAGGCGGAGATCTGGGGGCCACCCCCTCCCCCAGATTGATGCCCGTGACCACTGATCTCTATATAAAGACTGGATAGCGGATTTCACACAGTAGACTTTGCATATTGACCAATTCGCCCCCGGTCTCACGAAGATGGCCGCGTATAATACGAACGTTCTACGCGTAAATACACGCGCGTTGTATCAACAGTTGACGCGCTTTTTGGTCACGTACACATACTATGATGTTCTAAAAGGGACACGTTTCCGTAGTGATTATTATTTCAAAAACGCCGAAAAAGTGATTCGCAGCATTATAAAAGTAACCACGACGTTAGAAAAATTGTAGTAAACCTTGGTCAGTTGGTCAGTGGTGGTGGCCAAAATATAAGTCAAGTGAACCGCGACGTTACAAAAAAAATCATGCTGTCTATAAAGACGGCAACTTGTCCTTTGTAGATCACCAGCCGGTCTCACCAATATGGCGTCAAATTCATTCATTGTGCGGCTCTTTATTAGCTATCCAGTCTTTATATAGAGATCAGTGCCCGTGACAGTGCTTACACTACAGAAGTCACTGTGATCTGACTGTTGATGACTAGCCTTTGTAAAAGGCATAGCACGGGAATAAGATTGGAATTATGACTAGTCTCTGACTGATCAAACAAAAGGAGACTTAACGTGAATATACAACATTTGCTTTGGTTGTAATTTTCAGAAATGGATGGATTGGGGGGTAATAGTGTTTCATGGCAATATTGTCACACTGACTTGTTTGAAGCTTCGTGTTCATAGATGCAGCTGGAAAAACCAAGAAAAACAATCATGTTCTTCTAGGCTGGTTCCCTAACCTCACTTAAGATGAAACACAGCAATTTATAGACGTTGGGGAATTGTAAGGTCAAGGAACCAGTCTAGCTGGCTGACACCGTTCATAGATGTGTAATCGATTGCAAACAAAATGCGGACTAACTAGATATGGTAAATTGGGTCAGTATCTGAAAAAGGCAGTTTTTCCAAGCTGGTCGGCCGACCAGCGTTGGAAATTAATACAAAAATACCATTTTTCTTGAAAAGTTCAGCACACCAGGTGCCATGATTTTACACTGTCATTCACTAATAGTCCAGTGAGATATTTCATAATCATTTGATAGTTTTGTTTTTTGATGTTTGCAAATGTTGTATGTTCCTTTAATTAATCTTCCCATGATCAACCCAATTCCATTCACCCATTAGACCTGCAAATGGTGTTCCAACTGCCCTGACGGCGCGTGCATATCGCGCCAGCTGGACTGCATGGAAGTACACAACTGCCAGGTGGACAAACAGAAGGAGATCAGCGACGCCAACCAGTGCCCGGAGCTGGAGTGCGAGGCCAGTGACTGCGACAAATGCGTCGCCGAAGACTGCATCTGGACGCGCCAATTCAAACGAGCCAGTACGTGTAATATCATTTTGATCTAAAAGTACCATGTACTTGTTTTTTATCAATATACCCATTAGTTTCCTGTCCCACTCCAAACTGCCTTATCTGGTAAAGATATAGTCCATCATTTGTAATTTGTGCATTTTGTTCGTTTGAAGCAACAAAAGTGTTCAAAATCTAATGAAGGATTCTGAACAACTAACCTGATGAAGTTTCAGCTCAGCTTCAGCTATGTATACCGAGAAAAACAGCATTCTAGGATCTCAATTTCAAATCAAAAGTTGCTGAATCATGTTTTAAATTGTTTTGAATTGCAACTATACGCGATGTCGCGCACTGATCCGACGAATTATAGCAACCACGCCCTCCTGTGCGTCGTGCCAATGCTTGCGCGCGCTGCGCCGAATAACAAAACAAACTACAAATTAAATTTTCCTACGGTGCGTCTTAAGACGCACCGTTGGAAAGGCCTTCTTTCGTTGATTACTTCAAATGATAGCTTGCCAGAAGATTCATTTCACAGGGAGTTTGGTCCACTTACTATCTTTCAACCAAGTATGTTTTTCAACAATAATACGCCAGTTACTTTTTCAGATGGCTGCAAATGATGGACTGTAGCTTTAAAGGCATTTTTAGCTGCGGGATAGCAGCTCAACAAATCATCATATCTCTCCATTAGTCTGTTAGTTAGTTTAGTTAGTAGCAAATGTTGACATTGTCTATTTCTCCTACATATTTGGACAGATTTCAACCAAACTTTGGCAAAAGTATCAGTGGCCCAGCCCCAACATGTCATTTGACCAAACTGGGGTCAAAGGTCATCATGGGGTCACTAGGGTCAAAAACCCGATTTTTTTTTAAACTCAAAACACCACTTTCAGAACTTACATGGCACAATCACGTGACTCAAGCATAAACACGAATTCATTGGCCCGCAGTTTCCAAGGTATTTCTGATCGAGCTTGTTTATTGAATGGGATCATTTGCTTTTTGCGTTTTGTTCAAAATCCAAAGAAGAATGTTCAAAACCTAACCTATTGAAGTTAAAGCTCAGTGGATATAATATTTTTTGGAAAAACAGTGAAAAAATATGCACCGCCATTTGATCTCAAAACACAATTTTATCGATGGAACTCTTTACTTCCAAAAATCAGTCAATTGACTGATTGTTGGAAATCACCTACAGTTCTTGATTTCTTCTAAATGACAGCGAGCCGGACGGAATAATTTCACGGGGTGTTTAGTACCAGTACAATCTTTAATCCAAGTATTAAAGCTTTTTGAAAATAATTCTGTAGGTTACTTTTGGGGTAAATGCAAATGATCCTCTATGCTTTTCACACACAAAAGTACATAAGGCATCTAGAGTCCAAGATATAATGTCTGTGCATTTCAATGTCGTCAAATTTTCGACTTAATTCCTTTTGTGTTTCTGTTCCCAAACCTGCACATTTGTTAGTCCCAACATGTGTGTTCCTTGTACCCTGTCATTTAGCCTCTGAAGAAGATTTTGTTGATCCTCTATGCCTTTCACACACAAAAAGTTCGTAAGGCATCTAGAGTCTAAGATATGTCTGTGCATTTCAATGTCGTCAAATTTTTGACTTAATTCCTTTTGTGTTTCTGTTCCCAACCCTGCACTTTTGTTAGTCCCTACATGTGTGTTCCTTGTACCCTCGTCTTTAAGCCTCTGAAGAAGATTTTGTTGAGTTCGCAACGTCAGGCAATCTTGATGTTGTAACCCATCAGCCGTGCCTGTGTATAAAACAGCCAGTGCATGTTATGATGTTTTCCAATGCAACTGGTTAAAGGGAATATACAACATTTGCAAACATCAAAAAATACAACTACCACATTTTAGCAAAATACCTCACTAGGATGTTGGTAAATGACAGTCTAAAGCACCCTGTAAAATTATGGCACCTGGTGTGAAGTCATTTTCAAGAAAATGGTATTTTTGTATAAATTTCCAACAGTGGTCGGTCGACCACCGTTGGAAAAACCTAACTATTTTTCAACTACTGCTCCAAATTCACCATTTTTTTCACACTAAAATTTTGTTTGCTATTGGTTACATGTTCATGAACCGGTGCAGGGCAGCTAGACTGGTTCCTGTACCTTACAATTTTCCAGCATCTATAAATGTATCCATTTTATCTTTAGTGGAGTCAGGGAACCAGACTACTCCACCATTTGTGTGTTTCTTGTTTTTTTTCAGCATTTTCGAACACAAAACTTCAAACATGTCAGTGTAACAATGTATGATCTATTATAGTAGCCCCTCAAATAGTTCGCTTCTGAAAATTACAGCAAAAGCCAATGATGTATATTCCCTTTAAGTGAATTCACTTTTTATTTATTTTTTGTCACTAGGTGAGGTGCGACGCTTGCTCAACGCCAACCCCACCTACGACTGGAACTGCTTCAGGGAGTCACTCCTGCAGATTGCGCCTGTTGACATTCACATTAGCTCCTCCCCCAACGAGCCATGCCCCTCCCCTTGCTACACCCACAACTCGTGCACTGATTGCCTGGATTCCAAAGGGGCAGAGGGGGGCTGGCAAGAGTGCGTCTGGAGCGCCCGGCTTGGCCAGGTAAGGGTGTTCGCTCGTACCCCCCGCCCTGCAAACAGGGCGCTGGGATATTCTGATGAGCTTCACAGAATCTTGTGAAGGAAATGGCCTATGACCTATGTATAAAGCATCTGGCTGCAGCTGTTCAAAACCGCAGTTAGATAATATGCGCAAATGCTATCCGAAAACTTCCCATAGAAATGCACACGTTCCATACCAGATGTGATTTCTGTTTCATTGCGGACCATGTGGAGCGTCGCATAATGCAATCCGACCGTTCGTGATTCTAAACGGAGCCTGAGCAAGTGACGGGAATTGTAAATTTACATCACAGATAAGTTTTACAGAATTTCCTACATTATTACACTTTTCAAAAAATAAAATAACATTTCTAAACTGGAATAAAAAAGTAATGAATCAGTCTTAACGGCCGTTTCAAACCTTGCAGAGTCGTGACCTTGATGACGCGCAGGTCACTGGTCACGCAAAATCCAACCAATCAGAGCGTGAATTCATCAGAGTATCCCAGCGTCCTGATTGCAGGGCGGGGGGTACGAGCAAAGTAAGGGTGCTTCTCAAATATTTGGGAACGATTAGTGATAGCTTGTTTCCAGTTTGGAATTGAAAATCGTCTCTTTTTTTTTTTTCTGGGCAAAGGCAATTTTCCATTTGGGATTGGCCTGTTCTCAATTGGAAAGAAAGTTCGGTCTCAGTGATTTCTTGGGAAAAGCCAGTTCTCAATTGGGAGTGGTCTGTTCCCAATTTGGAATTGAGTTTGGTTTCACGGTTTCTCTGGAAATAGGCATGTACCCAATTGAGAATGGCAGGCTCCAAATAATAAATTGATTGTTCCTGAAAAGAAACAGTTTGAATGAGCAGAATCAGATTTGTTCTCCCAAGTGGGAGCCATATTCGGTCTCATTTTTTTCCCTAGAGAAAGCCATTTTCCAAATCAGAAATGGCATGTTCCCAGTTGAAAACTAAGTGTTCCCGATTAGGAACAGCTTGTTAATAACACTTGCATGTATTATAATATCATTGTGGTACTTACGTTGTGCTTTATACAGAACAACTCAAAGAGCCTCACAGTTTCAAATTTTGAAGCGTTTGGAGTTGTGAATTGAATACCAAAATCGTTGCCATTTCCTAAACAACACAACGCTATTTCTGAATGCAAAATAATAGAATGCCTGCAAAACGAACACTGCTACACACAATATTTGGCTAAAACAACTTTCATTTTTTGACTCCTGAATTTCTGGTCAATTACACTGAGCATGACCAGCCAAAACTTTACCAGCAGCCTTTACTGAACCGTCCTTTGTGTGTTCATTATGGTATTTATCACTGGGGTCTATTGCAGTTTATTTACTAGTCTGCAACCGTTTACGTCCAATATGGCGGGTGTGTGGTTGACCACCGACTTGCCACGTCACGTGAAATTCCTAAATTGAAGTATTTTGAATAAAAATTGAACATTTGTTATTTACCTTTTTATGCCCCGCGGCGAAGCCGAAGGGGCATACTGTTTCCGCCTTGTCCTTCCGTGGGTGGGTGGGTGGGTGGGTGGGTGGGTGGGTGGGTGTGTGTGTGTGTGGGTGAGTAGGTGTGAGCTTGTCTTACATACGCAGTGTGGACTTCCGAACAAAAGACGTCCACATAATGTAGGTAGCACCGACGTTGTGTGGACTTGCCCACGTCCACACAGTGTTTCCCCATTTCTGGAAAACAGGTTTAGAGGCATTTTGGGGTTAGGTTTATCTGTAGCAGAATGAAGAGAAACACTAAAGGGAATCATAGAAAAAAAATTGGGTTGAAAGAGTTTTCACAGTTTGAGAAAAATGAGTTTTTTCACTGGTTTTTCTTAACTACACGAAAGCAATGGAAAGTCCACACTAGTCATGTGAAACAAGTATGGGTGGGTGGGTGTGTGGGTGTGTGTGTCCGGACAAATCTTGTCAGCGCGATAACTTGAGAAATACTTTACATATGAACTTCAAATTTGGTTTGTGGATTGTCCTTGGTAATCCTAAGAAGCCTTTTGCATTTGGGGCCGAAAGGTCTAGGTTCAAGGTCACAGTGGCTGAAACAATAGAAATGTTGTCAGCGCGATAACTTGAGAAATACTTTACATATGAACTTCAAATTTGGTTTGTGGAGTGTCCTTGGCAATTCTAAGAAGCCTTTTGCATTTGGGGCCAAAAGGTCAAGGGTCAAGGTCACAGTGGCTGAAACAATAGAAATGTTGTCAGCGCGATAACTTGAGAAATACTTTACATATGAACTTCAAATTTGGTTTGTGGATTGTCCTTGGCAATTCTAAGAAGCCTTTTGCATTTGGGGCCAAAAGGTCAAGGGTCAAGGTCACAGTGGCTGAAACAATAGAAATGTTGTCAGCGCGATAACTTGAGAAATACTTTACATATGAACTTCAAATTTGGTTTGTGGATTGTCCTTGGTAATCCTAAGAAGCCTTTTGCATTTGGGGCCGAAAGGTCAAGGGTCAAGGTCACAGTGGCTGAAACAATAGAAATGTTGTCAGCGCGATAACTTGAGAAATACTTTACATATGAACTTCAAATTTGGTTTGTGGATTGTCCTTGGCAATTCTAAGAAGCCTTTTGCATTTGGGGCCAAAAGGTCAAGAGTCAAGGTCACAGTGGCTGAAACAATAGAAATTTTGTCAGCGCGATAACTTGAGAAATACTCTACATATGAACTTCAAATTTGGTAACTGGATTGTCCTTGGCAATTCTAAGAAGCCTTTTGCACTTGGGGCCAAAAGGTCAAGGATCAAGGTCACAGTGGCAAAAACAAAAGAAATTTTGTCAGCGTGATAACTTGAGATATACTTTACATATGAATTTCAAATTTGGTTTGTGGATTGTCCTTGGCAATCCTAAGAAGCCTATCGCATTGGGGGTCGAAAGGTCAAGGGTCAAGGTCACAGTGGCTAAAACAATAGAAATCTTGTATTTATTCTGAGATCATAGGGATTAGGGATTAATTCATATAAAACCTACAGAAGACACTGATGCTGTCAGTGAACGTTCCATTTGACCAAGGTACATGTAAGTTGATGTTAGAGTGGTGTTATGTCATGGAAACAGTCACGGTTGCGGGGCATTTGTGTTTGTAAACACACCTGACTTGTTTTTTTTTTTTTTGCCACAGTGCTTGTCCCCGACCTACGTCCCCCTGGTCTGTTCCACCGGCGCCTGCGGTCCCCTGACCCACAGCGGCAGTCACAACTGCCCCCAACCCTGCTACCTGAACACGCAGTGCGCTCACTGCCTGCGACAGCCGGGGTGCGGGTGGTGCGCAGTGGGCCAGGGGAACGGGACGGGCGTCTGCATGGAGGGGGGTCTGTATGAGCCCACGGGGGGCGTGTGCTCGGCTGAAGGAGTCGGCTTGAACAACTTCCCCGTAGAAGGTGAGATGGATGTTTAACTAACCACATTTCTACAAACTCCTTGCAAGTCAGTCTGAAATTGTCCTCCTTTTTGTTAACACAGTTTTGGTGATTCACAGGTCAATCATAAGTTGTCACCAATCAATCATAAGTCAATTACAAGTCATGGTCAGTCACTATAAGTCATCGCAAGTCATCACAAGTCTATAACAGGTCAACACAAATCAATGCCAAATCAACACAAGTCATTCACGAGTCCATCGCAAGTCAAACACTAGTACGCCACAAGTCAGTCACAAGTCAACACATGTCAATTTCACAGTGAATCACAATTCAATCATGAGTCAATCACGAGTCAAATCACAAGCCAATCACAAGTCCAACATTAGGTTTTGCCTTTCCCCAACGTATAAACACTGTATACTCAGCATTCACCGACATATAAACACTGTACACTCAGTGTGTTACCCTCTGAGTTAAAGTTAGAAGAAAAAAAAATCACTCGGGTGGGACTCAATCCCC